TTTAGAATCGAGAATTATATGAACGGACAGCATAAAACTTCCACTAGTGTCACAATGACAGTGTGACATTGTAATTGCCAGAATTAGGCTAGGATATCGATATGTATCGCAGGTGGCTGCAGGTAATGAATAGCCCCCAATGGTGAATATTCCAATTGTAAACTATGTGAACAAGAGCTGGGACATACTCACCAACACTATATCTGTGATTGCCCTGTTATAAGTGACTTCAGACCAAATGGTATAAGGTACTTTGAACTCTGTAATTACTTCATACACTTAGGAATATTGGAAGATATTCTTATGCTGTACCCGGATTTTGCTAACGGAGGCTAATAGATCAGCCTTATATTTTATGTTCTCACCTGATTGTTACCTTGAGGTAGGCCCGTAAGTGGTAGTCCTCTTGAACCATTAACAGTATCAATAGATGATACTGGAGATCTGTGGAGGTGCGACTGGACCCTGCGTGACGGGAGATGTATCCCTTGTTTCTTGTGATTGATTGATGAGGATTAAGCCACCCAAAAGGTAGCACGGGCATGAATAGCCCGTAAGTGGTGTTCTTGTTAGTCACAGTTGATTTTTTTTTATTGAGGCTGGTATTTTATCCCCTGATTCCATGTATAACTAACCATCCTGTGAGATGGGAATATTTAATGAACTTATAGCTAGTTTTTGATATACACTGTGTAATCTTTCATATAGAATAGGGTAGCAGCACATTACTGTGTATACCTAAGCTTGTTAATAATAACAAAAAAAAAAAAGTTAGTTTCTATCGATAGGGAGAGCGATGGTTCAAAAATCCTTCTTTAAAATATGAATATCTTTCCTATCTCACTAAGATCTAATCTCTGTGATTAAAATGCAAAATTGACTTTGTCACTGCCTTTTTGATAACGTATACAATCATAAGCTTATTTGTGAATCTCTATTAAACAGTAAATCAGAGAGCGTGTAAGGTTCCGTGTTCCATGTCCGAAGAAACAGGGAGATTTTACATAAATTAATACAGTACATGATAGTTTAAGTAGCGAACGCATACCAACAAATAACGATTAGTATCTATAACAAAAATATTGTTCTATGGAGTTGATTTAACTTCCAACCATGTATTTTTAAATAATCTTTAACGTTTTCTGGTTAGTTATGTTAGATTTGATTAAAAATACGCATTCTACTTGTTAATATCGTTAGATTTGATTAAAAATACGCATTCTACTTGTTAACATCATAAATTAAATTTGCGATAATTTGAGCAGAGAAGTTCGACGACTGGATCACTGTGTACAGAAGGTTGATATGCCAGCAAACACTTTCCAGAGAGCAATATATCTTGGATAAGTCGCTCCACGATATTGTTGCTTGGACCATCGACTTCCTTTGATATTACATACAATACAATACAATACAATTTTATTTAGGTAAGGTACATACATACAATAAATATTTACAAGGATTGTTTGACTTATAGGTAGAGCTAGTACATACAATGCCTAAAGCCACTATTACGCAAAGTGTTTCGGGCATGATAAACTTAAATGACAAGCTTAATACTAATTGAGCATAATGAGTAGAATGAAAACAAGAAATGAAAACATAGATGAAAAAGCAGCACAAATACAATTATGTCGACAAACAGCGCTCTTTAAAGAAAAAAACAGACATTGGTTGACAATAGAAGGGTAAGGTAGGTTACAGGGAATTTATTAGGTATAGCTTTGCTTTTAACTTAAACTGGTTGAGAGAGGTACAGTCTTTAACATGGTTGGGAAGGTCATTCCACATTCTGGGCCCCTTGATTTGTAGAGCATTTCTAGTTTGATTAAGTCGTACTCTAGGAATATCAAAACTGTATTTATTTCTGGTGTGATGCTCATGGGTTCTGATACAACCTTCTATGAAGCTTTTGAGATCAGGATTGGCATTATAGTTTAGCGTTTTATATATGTATAATACACATGAGAGAATGTGCAGTGACTTAATGTCTAACATATTCAGAGATTTAAGTAGGGGTACCGAGTGATGTCTGGGGCCAGAATTGGATATTGTCCTAATAGCAGCTTTGTGTTGAGTAATTAGAGGACGTAAGTGATTTTGGGTAGTAGAGCCCCAAGCACAAATACCATAGTTGAGATATGGATAGATAAGGGAGTAATAGAGAGTCACCAGGGCAGGGCGTGGTACATAATATCTGATCTTAGAAAGAATGCCCACAGTTTTTGAAACTTTTTTTGATATGTTTAGAATGTGTCCCTGGAAATTAAGCTTGTGGTCAATGAGAATGCCAAGGAATTTGCCATCTAATTTGTTACAAATTTGGGTATTGTTTATTTTGAGATTTATTTGATTAGAGGATTTATTGCCAAACAGAATATAGAAGGTTTTGTCAATGTTAAGGGTGAGTTTGTTGGCAGTTAGCCACAGATGGACTTTATTTAGCTCAGTATTTACTGTGGCATTTAGAGCAAGGGGATCAGGACTGGAGTAAATGAAGGTTGTGTCGTCAGCAAATAGAATTGGTTTGAGGTGTTAGGAGGCATTTGGAAGGTCATTAATGTAGATGAGAAAGAGGAGAGGGCCAAGTATGCTGCCCTGGGGAACACCAATGTTGATGGGTAGGGTGGGAGAAATTGTATTATTCACAGAAACATATTGGAGCCTGTCAGTAAGGCAGGATTTGAGGTATTGTAGGGAGTGTCCTCTGACTCCATAATGATGTAATTTAAGAAGAAGGTTTTGGTGGTTGACAGTGTCAAAAGCTTTACGCAGGTCCACAAACAACCCGACATATTTACATCTTATTTTGTTATGAAATGATATTTTTTCAGAGTAAAATTATGTTTTCTCATTTTCTGCATCCAGCATCCACATTATACTGAGTAAATATACCATATTACTTCATTGCTTACGTAATGCTAGGAAGGTTTGAGTAGCTTTGGGTCTTTAGTGGACAGAATCTCCAATAGATGGGGCGAGAGTCGCCCCATCTCTCTCGACCGGGCGGGACTCGAAACTTAAATTAAAATTGCTATGTCATTGGTCTCCAACATGATATATTTCCTTTGATGCACTCACAATAACGATTATAGCTCTGTCTTTCTGGAGGCATGTAATATTTTAGGCTTTATTAGCGTCTGCACTCCATGACCGAAAAGCTACTGAACGCCACTATAAAAACATATATCTTCACTTGAGCTTTAAATATGTCTAATGTTATGTATTTAAAATAAAGCTTATATTTCTATCTTTCTTAAGACGTGTAAAACATTTGTTTATTAACGAATTTACGTAAAATAAACATTCTTCTGAGAGAGTTGCTCTGTCGCTCAGTCTATGCGGGGGTCGGAGCTCGGCGATTATTAAAATACATGAATCTTCATTAGAACTTTAATTATGTCTATGATAAAGTGTTTAAAATGAGCCTTATATTCCTATCTTTCTTGAGGCATATAAAAAATTTACGATTATTTACAAATTTACGTGAAATAAGCATTGTTCTGAGAGAGAGTTGCTCCGTCGATCGATCTGTCCGGAGTCGGAGCTCGGCTATTATAAAAGTACACGTATCTTCGCTTTAAATATAAATATGCCCATGATAAGGTATTTAGAACGAAGCTTATATATCTGTCTTTCTTGTGACATATAAAACTCTTACGTTTATTAAGGAATCTGCGTGAAATAGGCATGGTTCTGAGATGAATGCTGCGGTTTTCGAGTTTGACGAGCGATGAAAACTGCCACTTTTATACAACTACAAATATCTTCGGTTTTACTTAAAATATTTGTCTGGTAGAGGTTTTACATATAGATCGCGTTTCTGTCTTTCTTCTGACTAATAAATAATTTTGGTTTAATCAGTTATCAAGATGTTTTCAACGATATTCTTTCAGCGTTCGTCTTTTCCAACTTGGGCAACCCTTTTGAAAGCGCGATACTTGGGTTAACCCATCCTATAGTTGGGTCTGTTTCCAACTGGGGTTCGAATAGTACTCTTGTGGCGGACCCGTTGCAGGTCGCTACCGAACTGGGTTCCCAGTTTTCTTCTAGCTCTGGTCTTCATCTTCCCAAATCTTTCCTTGTTCGTAAACCTGTCCTTGAGTCTCGTCCTTTAGATTTCTGTACTCGTGTTCGTCTTTCTTATAATGATCCCTTCTCACAATAGCGTGATGCATGAAATGAACAAATCGATGAGGGTTGGAAGCTACGTCGGTGATGATCGCAGACGCGCCTTAGTCGACTGCGCCACGACATGGTTAAAAGATTTGCAGGCTGTCCTCGTAATAAAGACGCAAAAGTGATTGCATGCACCCGCAAAACCACCTGTTTGTGAATGAAAAATGTCTGTAAACCAACTGATGACGTCCCAACACTTCCGGAACAAGTGCTTCACCCATGAATTTTGTATCAACCACAACACTATAAATGCTTCACTTACGCACTACGTTTTGTGGTTCAAACAAAATTCGTCGGTTAAGCACTTGTTCCGGAACTGTTCCGACGTCATCACTTGCTTTACACACATTTTTCATTTACAAACAGGTGGTTTGGCGGGTGCATGCAATCACTTTTGCGTCTTTATTACGAGGACAGCCTGCAAATCTTTTAACCATGTCGTGGCGCAGACGACTAAGGCGCGTCTGCGATCATCACCGACGTAGCTTCCAACCCTCATCGATTAGGTTCATTTCATGCATCACGCTATTGTGATTTGTGTGTACACTTAGGTAACATGTCTTGAAGACACCTCAAGGATGCCATCTCACAAAACAATGTATCACAGCCCTACATACGGAGTCGCCAGCCTTCACGGACCACCGTCAACTGTTTGAGGCAAACATCAAAGCAAACTTTGAGCGTGAATAATGCCAATCTTTATACTTTCTTTATGCTACAAATCACAAAATAACACACTACCCACAAGCAAAGACTCAGTTACATTGTGCAAACCTAAACAAATATATCCAAAATGAGAAGGTTATTCAGAAACTAGAAGCTTAAATAAGGCCTATCATAAGGCACAAGAGGATTACATTTTTACTCAACCAGGCAAACTGACAGGCAACAAGTAACGTCCAGGAGCTACACTTCAATCTCCACCAACTACAGCCAAACAACAACATCTAGCTAAACAGGCACAATACATATATCAAATTCATTATAACATTCAGATTATTCCAAAAGTCCCTTATCTATTTCAAATATATCTAACAAATATATTTAACAAGATTACAGTACTAACACTTTTACATATAAAGGGACCCTTCCAAATTTCTATTCAAAAAATACTGTTCACTCTATAAATGACTTCTCCATTGTGCACATTCAAAAGCACTTTTCATTAACATTTCAACCTGTCAAATACCTGCGTTTTCAACACCAACACCCTACCTAACACACACCAAGACAATCAATGACCATTTCAAATTTCTTCATACAATACTTATTCACATCCTTTGAGGGCATTAAATGGCAAACCACCTCATCTTATTTAATAATCACATCTTCTTGGCGTGCCCATTTCCTACAAGTTTATTAACATACTTTTCTTTTGAAAGACAACATTTTGAAAACAACAAATCAATGAACAACATTTATTATATATATATATACACAAACTTCTCAAGTTTGTCTTCGCTACAGCAAAGCTTTTATCAAAACATAGACGGCAGACAATTGTCGGTGGTACTTTTTTAAACAGTTTATTTGGTGTTGGAAATATTTTCTATAATATGTCATTGACACTTTTTCCCTTTTTTCGTTATTTTCAAACTTAGTTACTTAAATTCCACACGGGACTTTACAGCCATCACCTATGTCTGCCTCTCTCTGTATGTGAGTGTCTGTGCATCTATATTTAAGTACCGATTCCTGTATTGGAACATTGCAAGGATTAAGCTCCACCTCACGGCATCTACCATTAAATTACTAATACAAACACTTAAGTGATGAGTCCTTTTCTCAGAGGCTTTGTTTTATTTACATACAAGCATGCACCCACTTCATACCTGGTTAATGGTGTTCTGTGAGGAGTTCTACTCCCCAAGCCCGGCCCAAGCCCACGCTTGACTTCTCACAGCACCCATCCATTTAAATCCCATATGACAAGGCTACAGAATAAAAATGGATTTATCCAAAATTATATATATGGCTTAAATACTAACACTTATCATGGATAAAAAGTACAGGAACATGATAAAGAGCAACAAGTGAGGAAAAAAGGGAGCCCTTCAACACTGATTCGGAGCATGACAAACGAACAAAATAAGGATCACACAACAATACTGATTACGATGTGATTTCTACAGCTCAATGGTTTATACTCAAGTGAGGCATACACACACAATTCAAATATTATAAAACTTTAAAAACATCTAGGAACTGCTATCCGCAGACACACATTTCAAACCCCAAATACTGTTTTTTCATATAAAAACCATCTAGCTCTACATAACATAAACAACGACAATGCAACCGGAGCTCACACAAATCATCCCATCTTCTCTCTGCTGCGAATGAGTAACATGACTTCAGTGACGCCATGCCACACACCCCATGAATCAAATTACCTTTTTTACTTCCAGCTGGAGAGCTTAAGACAAGTACATACATTTTTACAGCTAGACTCTGCAAGTTACTACGTATATGGTCAGTCCATACACACAACTAATTTCTCTAAAACCTCAACATTTTATTATTATCCTGTACATATTTTAGACCCACTTTATGAAGTACAGTATTATCAAACACTACATATAACTCATATTAATAGATTCCTCAATGGTCATTTTCTCAAGTGTTATTTCTTTGGATAAAACAACTATTTGAAAGGAGGTACAAGCTCAAAGTTATCAATACACGAAAAAAGCCAACTCAGGGGCAAAGATTTGATGTGTGCCATGTCGTACTTGAGCTGTGGCTCTACTACACCATCCTGGTAAATTATGTAGTGAGAGCAACTGTTAAGTACACTATTCTCATCACTGTAAAATGGTACCGTCTGCTCCTTTTCAGATATGCTCTCTGGGTTGGGCTCTCGCACTAACACTGTGCCACCCCCTGCTTTAATTATTGCTTCAAGACCCTTCTTATTTGGATATGGTTCGCAGAAATTTCCCCACAGGAACATGTGGCATCCATTAAAAAGGCCAGGATGCTGAAAAACAGAAATATCAATAAACAAACAGATTTACAACAAAATAACCTACATGAAACACTAACAACAACAACAATGTTTCTTTTGTATGAACTGCGCATTTTTTATATCACCTGAAATACACCAAATTATAACACATCTTATAGCTAGCAATCTAAACACACTTTCTTGGTTTGTGATTTGTGGATGAGTCGCTAACTAATTATCACAAGAAGGCACCAAGCTGGGAAGACTAAATAACAACAAACCTGGTCAATGAATGCCTAATAATATAATAGCATTCATTTCTTTTCTTTTGTTAAAGATTCGCCACCTGCAACAAAACGTCCAAACTAACACGGGCTACAGTGAGCCTATACATAGTTCTCGCATTCAATTAAAATGTAGACTTCCTATATTGCTACAGACAACTATGAATCTGTTTACTTTCCTTTTAATAAGTCTCACACTGAAGGTGTTAGATATGGAACTCGTGTTTTACATTGAACAAATTCAGTAAATGCAAGTAATACAAAACTGCAAACCTCAAATGTATAGCACTCAACTATCACAATCTTTCTTACGTCATAGGCAAACACTGCACTTTGGTTGGACTGTCACTATCAGGCCCTATCAAGAAAACATTGTTTGATGACTACTCATTCCAGAACATAAACCCTTGAGCTTCTTTACAATTAACACGACCCTCTGAGAGAGGGTCTTATCTCACTATATAACGTTCAACACATTTCAACTGTTCCGAATCCTGTTTTCCCAAGTCTACAATGGGGGAGGACTTCAACAAATATGTTGGTTCATTACAAATGCATAATATTCTTGAACTGCTAAAATCATTTAGGTTTACAAACAATTATGCCTATGATATGCAGGCGATGAGTCACAATATCATGGCTAAAGTATGTTCACCAGACTACACACTACAACGTGAAGGGACGACGACGTTTCGGTCCATCCTGGACCATTCTCAAGTCGATTCAATCGACTTGAGAATGGTCCAGGATGGACCAAAACGTCGTCCTCCCTTCGCCTTCTAGTGTGTGGTCTGGTCAACATGCCTATGATAACATTTATATATTTACACATCATATATACATAAAAACAAGAAAGGGAAATCTTATGTAAGTATCAAGGCAATACTAGAGCACGACTAATTACGTGGACGAGCATTACTGCCTCACAATGATACTGAAAATAATTAACTGACAAATCTTATGAAAATATATCAGCCAAATAATGCCATGAGTCGTGTGGCATTATTGCAATGGTGTTGGGTGCATGCAGGTCTTGGTGAGACTTCCCAACATTTTACACAGTCACTGCCCGAGTGATTAAACCACTGCACTACTGGGGCCATGTAAACCCTGGCTGACCGTGTTCAAATCCTTCAGGGGGTCAAGAGTTCTCGGATGTACATTGACTTGGGTAGTCTGCATTTTGACAAGCTAACATCAAGAGTAAACTCTTCAGTGGGTGACCTAGAAAAGCTGGCCTATGGTGTGTAAGCACATCAGGATATATCATGACAAATTTAAACATGCTCAAAACACTATTGGTATGCACACAAGGAGCCCAAACATGAAGTACTGGACTGCTCTTATGGTCAGTTGATGGGGAAGGTGAATGTCAACTCCCTTTCTCCCCTTCAGAAATCTAGAGGTTATCTTGAGATGATTTCGGGGCATTAGTGTCCCCGCGGCCCGCTCCTCAACCAGCCCTCCAACCCCAGGAAGCAGCCCGTGACAGCTGACTAACACCCAGGTACCTATTTTACTGCTAGGTAACAGGAGCATAGGGTGAAACAAACTCTGCCCATCGTTTCTCGCCGGCGCCTGGGATCGAACCCAGGACCACAGGATGACACCCCACTCCACTCCAGACATTATAGTGCCTCAGATCTTCTCTCATTAATATCTTAAGATTATGCTAATGATCATTCCAGTCATGAGGATTTGCACACAGTACTACTTCTACAGTAATTTACTCCAAAAAGGATGGCATTGGCAAAAGCTAACACTCTGCTTGTTATTATTTACTCCACAACATTTCAGGCGGCAGACAAAACTCAAGTTAGCAAACCCCAAAGATCCACAAGTAAGCTGTAAAAGAATATCTGTAAACAAATATCACCTACCATTTTTTCAACGTGGCTTCTGGCTTTAGCAGGTGCACTGCTGGTACTGTTATGACTCGACCCAATAACTTCATAGGGCTGGGGATTCACTGCTTGCTCTTGGGAAAGGCAATCATCCATCCCTGGAAAAAATTATTTATCAGGTACACGATTGAATTTAGTTTAACAATTCAAGGGGAACACCTTAATAAATAACAAAATTTCTCTTATAAATAAATAAAAACTATCTCGTTAAATGATTTTAATGATAATGCTTTCCACTACTGTAATAACTTACAACAAACATAAACAAGGTCAGCTACATTTATAAAATAACAATACAACTAAAATAACAATACTAAAATACAATGTCTAACAATCAATAATATTCTAGAACAACAACTTCTTTTACACTTTAATCAAACAATATACATATAACAATGCTTTAATTTCTCTTTTTTTGTAGAGAAGTTGGTAGTAAAGCACCGTACAACCTCATTTATCGCAATTGTATGGGAAAGATCCCCAGCCAGATAACCCAGACATGCAGATAACCAGAATGCTTACTGGGGAACTCCAAAAGTTAAGCACAATTTCTTGTACCACAACCAAATTAATTTGATTTGCCACACACAGGTCATAAATTTTAAATACAGTATTCAAGTACCAGTACAGTACTATAATTAATTACAAACAAACTTCAGCTTACCTTGTTGTAGTTCGTCATCTTGATTGAGACTACATCTTCAAATTAGGATTTCTTGAAAATTTACATAACCTAACACAACACGAAAATTAACGCTTCAAATTACTGTACAGTACATGAGCTTGGCAAGCTCAGTTCTGACTGCCAGCTCCTGAAACCTCACAGTTAAAGGCTCTTGGCATGCTTGTGAGCCTTCATTGGTTGAAAGCTCTTGGCTTCCTTGTGATGCCTCACTGCTTGAATGCTCTTTCTTGGCTTTCTTGTGAGCCTTCACTGGTTAAAGGGCCTTTGGTTGCAGGTCTTACAAAATAAGAATCACGTTTAGCTTGCCTCCTGTGTTCATTGGCCTCTCTTAAGATCAGCTCTTTGGTTTACCTCAGGTATTGATACACGTTTCCAAACTTCTGGATTAGCACAGTTAGAGGGAAAATTAATTAGCATGTCAAGAGAAGACATGAATAAACTGTATTTTGTTGTCTGTGGTCAAGACATGAATCAACAGTATTTTGTTGTCTGTGGTGTTGGTTTATCATCATTATCTTCATCCTCTTCCTCGACCTCACTAGTAACAGACTGGAAAATCTCTTCGCTCGTCACACCATATCCTGGGTCGTTGCCCATTCAACCACATCCTGTCTTTCTACATTTTCACCAGCATTTCTGAAAAGCTGCCGGATAACCCAAACATTCGAAAAAGCGGGCTTTGGATAACCGAGCTTATACAGTACAGTATTGTACCATTTAGGTATGATATTTAATGCCCAGTGCCCAGCATCAATTACCAAGGGGACCCCATCACAATTTAACTCTCAATAATTGCTGGAAAATGAAATAGCTCCAGGCGAAGAAACTGCCCATCTGGGTTAATAGAACAGAACCCACGCTTCCCGAGGCGAGCATGAAGTTCCCCAATCCCACAGCCAGAGGCGAAAGCCAATAAAAACAAAGGCATAAGAAAAAACTTCCAGGACCAAAGCAGCACCTGTGAACCAAGGGGGAAGAAACAAACGCCAACACCCAATCTAGACACCAAGAAGACTTGGAGGGAGTAAAAGCCACCTGCAGGTCAAAGAAAGCTGAAGACAACATGCAAAACGGCACTAAGGAAGCATCAACGCCAAATACTAATGAACTAGCTACACCCAAGTCGTACGATAAGCAGAGACAATATTAATTATGAGGCGCCGATCAACAAAAAACCAGGACGAGAAGGAATGAAAATAAGGCTGTGGCAGTAGGCATCTTCGAGGTCCAGGGACAACATTCAATCCCCCCAGATGGAGAACCAGGCAGAACTGGACTAAAATGGTCATACAGAAGGTAGGGCATACAAGAAATGAAGCTGTTCAAACCAAGAATATCGAGGATGAACCACAGGTTAGACGAGTAGTTTGTTCAATAATGAGTTTGTTTATTCTTTCAACAAATAAGAACAAATAAGTACAAATAAGAACAAATAATAACAAATAATAACAAATAATATAACAAATAATAACAAATAATAACAAATAAGAACAAATAATAACAACAAATAGGAACAAATAAGCCACCCAACAAAGGGACAAGGTTGGTTCGACTACGCCTAAATCCAACCACGTCACAATGAGCCAACACAGCAGTGGGGAAAAACCTGACCCGCCAGCCCTGGCCCCAAAAAAATGGGCAGAGCCGACAAATTCCACAGCCAGCTGAACGAAGCAACCAAGGAGCAATGGTTTCAAGCTCAACAAGACACAATATACGACTGAGAACAGGTGATGCTCTTTCACCCACAGGATTATTAGCCCCTGGAACTGCCTACCCGCCGAAACCATAACTGCCAAAACTGCGCCGAGTTTCAAAATATACATGGAAAAGATCAAAGCAAATGAGGGGACCTTCGACAACCCGCCAGCTTCCTGTCCTCATCGAGGCCACTAGGGTTAGTGACCCTCTGGTAAATAAAGCTAACGAGCACCAGGTGATGACTATCAGTAGCTCCAGCAGAGCTGATGGTGGTGCTGCCACCTAGAGGCAGTCGGTGTGGGAAATAAATACAGTAAAATTTGACCTGTGCAGCATTTTAACCATCCTAGTGTATGCCAGTTAATTCTTAGAATGGGTGGCAAGTTTTGATGCCCCTCTTTGGTGTTTAAGGGCAACACTTTGGTTGTAGACTGACCTTTATCTTCCTACCCCCCCCCCCAATTAAGAATAACAAAAATACTAGTTACCATGGGGCACAGTTTAACATAGCCAGACATCAACGTGAGGATTTAATGGCCACAAATCATGTAAACCAAGCATTCAAGAGCACTATGCTCAGAATATATTAAATATCTGAAAGTTCTAAATAGGTATATTAAAAGTTAGTCAGAATTTTACAATGGTTTACTGTATAATGGTGTACAGGTGTTAAGAATGCATGTAAAATTGTGTTATTTTAAGGTTAACAATACCACTGTTATTTTCAGTGCCCTGTATCGTCTTATTGTTTCAACAGACTCCATTCTCATTTTAAAAATTCTTACTTCTATAAATTGTATCCCATGCATTAAACTACTTCATGCAAGTCTAATTGTTAGCTGAAACCTGAAAAAACACCTGTATATTTACATGTGTGAGAGAGGATCCATTTGCCCGACACTACTCCCATCATGTACTTGAGTGTCCGCTGACTCACAATTCTCTCTTGAGTACAATGTGCAATGATGTGGGTCACGTCCATGCTGAAAGAATAAAAAATACATTCGAGTGCCAATGAATACAATGGCTATGTATGAATGCATACTAATTCACTCACGTGTACAAATACACATTCATCTCTTCATTTCAATTTATACATGTTTAAAACATAATTTCCTGTTAATTTAGCCATCTCCTCAAAGCATGTGTGTTCTTACAGAACTCTGCAACTCTTTACTATTACAAGTCTCACACATATATTGTCTGGTACTATCCTTCCCATTGGGTCTCGGCTCTTTCTATCACTATTTTACCAAACTCTCAACACACTTAACAATATGACGTCATCAGCAATCTTCTCTAAATGCAAAACGTTCCACCTACACAACTAAACAACACTTGTGCTGATCCTACAAAACACACACACTTCCCTAATGCTTACACTAATCTGTATCTCTACACTCTCAGATGTCAGGGATTTCACGTGCAAGTATGCACTATATACACGTATAGTTTCCCGAATATTGTACCTATGACCATGGATGTCTTGCACACAAGCATTCATACATACAAGTGCAGGTATGCAAAGTAAATCAATAAACTTTTCATTCAATATTCCGACACAAAAACAATATTTTCTTCCATCATAATATTTCAGAGCTGATATTATATTTTATAGGAATTCTGGATTTAGTTTTAACACGTTCAATATCTTCCTCTTATAACTAAACAAATGAGACAAGTCTTTCCCAACCTGAACTCAGAGGTCACCCGAGCTCGCAGCAACTTGGCCAGGTTATCCAACTTTCTCAGATTCTCGGCCGACAATCCAGATCCCAGGAGCACAATTTTGTCAAGAAGGCGTGTCATCACCTGTGGCCGCTGCAAAGTCGTGTCTTCAGGAGTGTCTAGAGCACTATTGAGCTCCACCACTCCTACACACAGGTTAGCAAGAGACCTGTTTTGCCAAAGTAAATTTCAAATTTGTAACATATACCATTAATTAATGTAAAAGACACTAGTTATATTACATTACATAATTATTACTTGGGAACAATACTGTATAGTGAATAAAGTTGTCAAAAAAATATTTACACATATCATGTATAACATTTTCACTACATAGTGCCTTGCTAATAGCAAATGATGCTTCTATTTGCATGCTGCGGCATATCGCAAGTCAGTTACGTAAACAGAGATCAAGAGCACTCAACTGCTCCATAAGACTAGGTACACAGTGTCTTAAGAAGTGATATAATAATACACAATTTATTCTCCCTTACAAATCTTTTAAACCCAGTCTTGTCCTTATCCCTTACTATATCCAATGCACTTGCTCACACTGCATCCTCACCACCTAACACACCCAACTAGCTATGTTTGGAAGAGCTGCTGGTGCCATTGGGATAACTGCCCACACACACAGACAAAGTTCCCTGAACGACTTAAAGATTCTGAACAACCACTAGTTGATGACATTCCTGTCTTGTGAGGACGAACACATCAATACTTCAAGACTCGGCATGTCTCTTGTTTGGAAGGGAACATTGTATGTTCAATGTATGTTGGGGATATCTTATCTTGAGATGATTTTGGGGCTTTAGTGTCCCCGCGGCCCGGTCCTCGACCAGGCCTCCACCCCCAGGAAGCAGCCCGTGACAGCTGGCTAACACCCAGGTACCTATTTTACTGCTAGGTAACAGGGGCACAGGGTGAAAGAAACTCTGCCCATTGTCTCTCGCCGGCGCCCGGGATCGAACCCGGGACCACAGGATCACAAGTCCAGTGTGCTGTCCACTCGGCCGACCGGCTCCCTTAATCCCAGATAACATCAATATCTAGGCTCTGTCTGCCTATAATGTTAAGGGCATGTCATAGTGGTTTATAACTGGGGCCCCATCTGCTACACATCACTGCACAGATAAATATAGAACCAAACTTGGTATCTGACTGCTTCACACACTACACAGATGGTTCAGTACGCCGGTACAGACAAAAATCTGGAGCTGCAGTTAAGACAGGAAATTCTATAGTTAGTAGGAGAGACTAATGGGTGCAGGCGATGAGTCACAATAACGTGGCTAAAGTATGTTGGCCAGACCACACACTGGAAGGTGAAGGGACGACGATGTTTCGGTCCGTCCTGAACCATTCTCAAGTCGATGATTATTCCTGGTCATCGACTGGTCCTGGACCATTCTCATCGACTTGAGAATGGTCCAGGACGGACTAATGGGTGTTCAACTTTTCAAAACAAATGCTACCCATTCAAAAAGGTTTTGGAACATCCACTTGGTGAACATTGACAACACATTATCATACTTAGATCCGAGAACTGCCATAGAAACCTTACAATGAAAACACTCATGTGACAACATCCATCTGATCACAATTGTCATAGTATTAATGTACACACTTAAATGCCAATGTTGTCAAATACTTATCAACTGGGTGCCAAGTCACGTATGAATACCAGAGAACGACAATGCAGATGAAGCTGCAAAACTGGCAACTATGAAGTTGCAATGTAGACATCTACATACCCTAGAGTCTAGTGCAGATTTAGAAGATACTTAGAGATAAGGTAATGCAAATAGTGCATTGCCTTATCTCTAACAGTGCAGTGTTATGGTACAGTGACCATAACAAAGCTGTAACATCAGGAACTGCAAGTTCGTACAATATTTCAACCAACTGATATATTAGGGGAGCGGGTCGGCCGAGCGGACAGCACGCTGGACTTGTGATCCTGTGGTCCTGGGTTCGATCCCAGGCGCCGGCGAGAAACAATGGGGCAGAGTTTCTTTCACCCTATGCCCATGTTACCTAGCAGTAAAATAGGTACCTGGGTGTTAAGTCACCTGTCACGGGCTGCTTCCTGGGGGTGGAGGCCTGGTCGAGGACCGAGCCGCGGTGATACTTAAAAGCCCCAAAATCATCTCAAGATAACTGAATCCTTATTCTGATGAAAGGGAAGAATAATAAAACTCAAAGTGCACCTACACTGCATCAGGCTTGGATACCTGTGTACACTGGAAATACTCAATATTGTGGAGAAATGAACCAAAAACCTCACTAGAACATCAACTAACACAGAGTAGAGTTACAAACAAAATAAGATTTCAACAGAGATTTAACAGTGCAAAAGTTAAACACACTGGATAAAATCTTCCTGAAGCCAACATAAGAATCATAAGTACTCTTCCACCGCCTAAGACAGACAGGCTGGCTTGCCTGCTAACCTCTGCCTGGCTAGCAGGCCAGCCAGAGGCTTAGGACCCATGCAGGAATCTCTCTCTTGGGGAAAATAAAAAAACAAAATACACATTTTTGTCCATCTTCCCAGCTTTTCTTCCTTACTGCCTCCTTCCCTTAAATTTCCTCAATTACACTCTCTTCATCAGTCAAATTATCCACTCATTCACTGTGCCAAAACCATCTCATAGTGGTCTCCTACATTTTTTACTTTTACTTTTGAATTCCATATCTCTTCAAGACATTTTAATTCTAGTGTGTAGAAATAAATTCCTAACAGTATGTACCCTACAAGTGTACCTGGGAGTAAATCCAAAGAGATTGCGAGCGGTGTCGCTAGCACCCCAAGTCCTGAGAAGCTTGATAACCTCCACCTGACCCTGAGTAACAGCATCATGTAGAGGATTTTCATTACTGCCGCCAGGCACATCCACTATGGCTCCGTGTTTCAGCAGCAGCTCAGCAATATTTTGAAAGCCATGACTGCAGGCTTCATGCTGAAAATTCAGAATATTTAACACATGGATAAACAAATTTTTAACATCTTTAAAACTTGCTATCAAGTTACTTTTACAGTATTTTATAAGTTTGCAATGTATAAATGGAAGAATGAGTGCCAATGCTGCCATTTTTGGATATCTAAACCAGGGCCTCATCGATGCAGGACAAAGTAGCAAGGTAGACGGCTGCCTCTTGAGAAGGCGCAGCAACTATACATGTGCCAGTCCACCTGAGGTTAAAAGTAACATATGTACCTACTAGTCAACTTAGTGGTTATGGATGCGTAAGTCACCAGGTCACGTGTTCATCATAACAAAGATCAAAATACTTATGAAACAAAGCACGGCCTAACAAATCCTGGAACATAGTGCTTGAAGGAATCATGCATGTTCGAGCGCGGATACAGCACCGAGCTTCCCTATTAAGGAGGGGAGGTAAAAAGTAGCAGTTGTTACAACGAAAAATGGAGCCATTCCAGGTGATGACGTAGTCACCACTGGAGGCATGGGGCTCAACCCTGCCACGGAAGTGCGATAGGAACGGAGAGGGTCACTTGGGATAGTCAACAATAAAACCTGGTCTGGCCTCAATGTAGTTGGGGCTATGGAGCCTGATCTTCCATCACTAGCCGACTCGGGGGGACTGCTCACCAACCCCACATGTCTGTGTTAGAGAAAAGTCAGTTCATTTTCCACTTAAAATATTTTTCAAACATTTGGGTATTAGAGTCAAAGGATACCACCTATCAGGGCAGCAAGGGTGGCCAAGCAGTGGCCAGTGCAGGAAGGGGGTGTGTCATTCCAAGCAGCATCCTACTTTTTAACGGAGGGAGACCTACTGCATTGGACTATTTGATGGAAGGTACCACTATGTACCAATGGACCACCCGCCAAACACATACCGAAACTATGACGTTGGTACAAGGTTCAAACTAGTTTTAACACCACCTAACCAGTTATAACAACCAATATAGCAAGTTGTGACAACGTTCTAATACATCATAAACACGTTAAGCCAAGATGTAACAACTTTATTACAAGTTGTAACAGGCGCAAAATAGAGAGTTTCGGTTTGTGTTTCCAGGGGACCAGTAAACCCCTTTTTGTACTATCAATTTTATTGAGTCTGGAAAAATAAAGTTAAATCCAAACTTAAATATTTCTAGGCCTAGTATAGCACTTATATGCATAAAATTACATCTAAGATAGTGTGTACTAGGCCCTAGGATTGCTAGAAGAATTTAGGTTAGGTCTTATATTTATGTGGCAGCTAAGTTTCCTGTTTGCCCCAAATTTAATACTACTAAATTAAATTTTCTGGTGATCAAGGCTGAATAGTTACTATAAGTACTTTCATTTTAGGAAGAATGGCTAACAACATCTTTATACATTAGTTTAATTTTGCACGGCCACCACCCGTAGAGGGACTGGAGAGGAGGGCCAAGGCAACCGTCCCGGGCCCCAGGGAGTCGTACACGAACCCCTCCCCCCCCCTCACCACAAGGTGACTCTCTTTTCGATCCCCATATAAGCCTGAGCACTATTACAGCTTCGTATAGCCCTCTAGCCACATCTTTTCCTGCATAAAGGCTTTCACTGCAACAGTCATTTTTCTTCCCTACTTAATAATAATAATAAATCAACATCAAATATCCTGCCATTTGTTTTTTAAATTAAAAAAAAACAATGCTTCAGGGGACTGGGCAAAACACAAATAAAAATTATCAAAACGTTGAGTGACGTTAATTCTTCATTACAGGTACAGTACTAGACACTTGACAAACCAAAGGTTCAACCTGTGTCCGTGTACACCTTTACTTACCAAAGGGGTCCATCCTGCATTATCTTTGGTGTTGGGGTTTGCTCCCTCCTTGAGCAGCTGCAGCACTTTCTCACTGTCCCCCTGTTGGAATACTGTATATTTTGATTTCTACTAATTTACATACATTTTGGTGAATTATACAAAAGTACTTTTAACAATTAATCATTTATAGTAAATATAGCCCCTGAGGACACGCACGTCAAGTACTGCATGTGAAAGCATTTGGGGGAAATGAGGTAATTCTGACAATTTGGAATCCGCCAAGGTAGAGGTCAATGTCACGATGCACATCTATTATGACAAGTGCCTGTGGACTATAGGGAGATACCCTAGTTTGGGTAACGTCTAGTCAAGCAAAATGTGTAAGTGAATGCAAAATAAATAATAAATTGTAAATAAAATGAAATGTACAGCTATAAATTATGTCAAAACATTAAATAACATGATGAATTCTTAACTCTTATTGTGATAAGATTCTCAAAAGATAAATCAAGACAGGGAGCCGGTCGGCCGAACGGACAGCACGCTGGACATGTGATCCTGTGGTCCCGGGTTCGATCCCGGGCGCCGGCGAGAAACAATGTGCAGTTTCTTTCACCCTATGCCCCTGTTACCTAGCAGTAAATAGGTACTTGGGAGTTAGTCAGCTGTCACGGGCTGCTTCCTGGGGGTGGAGGCCTGGTCGAGGACCGGGCCGCGGGGACACTAAAGCCCCAAAATCATCTCAAGATAACCATTCAAAATGGCATAAATATTTCTTCTTATAGGATTGTAGAGCATACAATTCTACGAAGAATACACTAACAATTTCACATACACAATTGCCTCAAAATAAAAGAATCCATATGTACTGGCAAGTATTGTTACACATCGTATTATCACATACAGCATACATGGAATGTAAACATTTTTTTTACAATACCGTACAATGTTTTCCTTCCAGTACACAGTGTTCCCAATTGGTATTTGAGGCCTCTGGTAAACATCTGCCATCTTGAAAAGTGTCTTACCATTTATGGGACAGTTTCCCTATGCTCAAAGCACAGGTTTTGATCAACATTGGAAGACAAAAGCCTTGTTTTGAATACCATTTCTTTGTGCGCATACAGATAATGCCTGATGTAACCCTTGTGCATTGTAAGGGTTAAGATGTGCACCTTTTGGTTATATGCAGCCAACATACATCGTGCAAAGGTTATATTTTTCTTCCGAGCCTTTTGCTTACGTGGAGAATACCAGGAGTGTGTTTCGGGAGTAGTTCTACTCCTCGAGCCCAGTCTGGGGCTTAACAAATGTTTTATCTGTTCTTGTTCCCCATTTCTCAATCAAATTCTCAACCATTTGGCAAGGGTGGTGAGGCAGTTGTTGTGTGGGGCGGGTAAAAAACTGGATGACATTAGATGGGGATAAACTGAGGTTTACCAACTTGATTGTATGCAGATGATGTGGTGGTCATTACTAGGAGGGAGAAAGATTGGCAAAGGATTGCTTATGAATTAGTATATGTATGAGAAGAGAAATCAAGTTTCTCATAGTTAACTTCAAGTGGCACATCGATGAGAACTTACAAGTGCACTAAGCCCCAAAATCTACCTTCATGTGCACACACAGGTTGAATTTACAAAGTCTATCTCCCTTAATATTGGACTGAAACCTAGCTTGTTTGCATCTATTGAGAGTTCATAATGCTAGCAGCAAAATTATGCTGCAAGGGCTGTTGTGTGTTTAGTCTGAGGAGAGAGCAAGCATAAAGTTTCCATTGTTAGAAGCCAAAATCACTCATTGGCCACCTTAGAAGGCTATTGGAGGGAGTATTCTTCTGCAGGCATTGGTGAGAAGATTAGGTTAGGTCAGCCACAATGGTCAACTCAGGATTGGTGATGCAGCCACGACATCACAACCATATCATTTTCGATGAGCCTACAGCAATCCAGTATGCCTGCAGAATAGCCAATCATTAATTGACCAATCCCATACACAGACTGGAGCTGAATAGAGCGTGCTTGCCACACCAAGCCAACAATTCCTAATGACTGTGACCAAGTCCAACCGTTAGCAACCTGCTGCCCACTTGCCCAACATGTGTGTGTGTGATCTACTTCGATACCATGTGTGGTTGTTGTAGGGAGCCAAAGAAAAAACCAGAAAGGCAAAGTTGAAGCACCTGCACATTTGAGCTCACTCAACACCAACAGACAACGGTATTGCAGCCACAGCAAGCCCACCGGAGGCATGGACAGCAAAGCCCAATGAGAGTCCCAAACAAGACCCAGCCAAGTCTGAACCTGGGACGGAATCAAATGGGATTTCCACCAGCTTACCAGGAACCCAAACCCACCAAGCTGGGAAAATCAAATCTCTGGCTAGGAGATACATGGACTGGCTGAGAGCCTACACCACACAGTAGGTGAGGTAGGCCAGCACCCGAACGCCAAGAAGACGAAGACAGGGCATTACTACCAGAGCCAAACACGAAAAAACGTGAGGAGTCAGATGGAGCCCAAATGGGAGTTACCGAAAACAGTATGCCTGACAACCCATTACAAAACCTAACCAACCCCTGAACCTTGGATGGATAGGGATGTGCCAAGACTCATCTTGGAGGTCCAAGGATATCATCAAGAACCCACCTTCAGAATGAGATGAACCCGGAACAATGTGGACATCCGAAACGAGGAGCAAGGAAAAGAACCATTTCAACCCAGACAGAACGAGGGTGAACCGGAGATCCAAAGAAACCCGGTTCAGGACCGGAAAGAGGCGAGAAAACCCACTGAAAGAGTCGTTGTTTTGACCACACCCAAAAACACCCACTCCAAGATGACCTGACGACGACTAGGAGAGGAGGCCTGCTCAGAAAGACCCAACCCCCCTAAGGGAGGAGGGACCAACCAGCTACACTGCAGGTCACATAAAACCACCCCAAAAAGCCCACAAATTGTGGGACCAGGCATCAGCAAACTGCCCTCTGACCATCCCATCAAATGGGACAACCACGAAAGAGCCAGCACAAACCCCAAAATCCGGAGTGCTGAACAGGGCACTGACCACAAAACAACAAAACAAAAACGGATGAGGGGAAGAGCATGTGGCCCAGCCACACGTTCCAAAACCAGCCTAACACCAAATCACTAAACCAATCTTTCTTCTAACAAGCGATGGTCTGTTTTGTTTCACCTGGAGGTGGCAGACATGATACAAATTCACAATGTTATCATAGTGTCACCGTTCTGTGCTTTTTTTTAGAGGGAGGCCAGGTTCTGGCTCATAATTCCATGCAGGCCTAAAAGAACTCTGTGACTGATGGCACCTTGTAGTTTGGCACTATATCAACATGGTACTTTCAGGGAGCCATAAGGAGTTCCACTCAGAAAATCAATATATAAATACATGACAAATTGAAAACTGGGATCTCTAAAATTAGCAAGAAAATAAGTGGTGTTATTCTTCAGCTATATCTTACTCTTGGTTGGCCCCATTTAGATTATGCAGTTTAGTTTTGGTCGCCATACTACGGAATGGACAAAAATTCATTAGAATGTGTCCAGCGTAGGATGACACAGGTAATCCCACAAATTAGAAACAAGTTCAGTAATTATCAAAAGAAGGCACCAAGCTGAGAAGACTATGTAGCACCATCAAATGCCACAAATTAGAAACCCTCCATATGAAGAGACTGAAAAAAGCTTGATTTACATTCTCTAAAAAGGCAAATAGTTAGAGGTGACATGATTGAGGTGTACAAGTGATGGATAGGCATAACAAAGTGAATATTAATAAGGCATTAAATGGAGCAACACATAATGGAACATAAAACAATGGATATAAATTGATTAATTTTACATTTAGGGAAGACCTGGGCAAATACTGGTTTGGTAACATTGTTGTGGATTTGTGGAACAAATTACCAGGTATAATAATACTTAGGATCACTTGATTGTTTCAAACATAGGTTAGACATCTATAAGAATGAGTTTGGCCAAATATAAATAGAAGCTGCCACGGATGGCCCAATAGGCCTTCTGCAGTTTCTTTTATTCCTATGTTATGTTCTTTTTTTTTTTTTTTTGAGATATATACAAGAGTTGTTACATTCTTGTACAGCCACTAGTACGCGTAGCGTTTCGGGCAGGTCCCTGGAATACGATCCCCTGCTGCGAAGAATCGTTTTTTCATCCAAGTACACATTTTACTGTTGCGTTAAACAGAGGCTACAGTTAAGGAATTGCGCCCAGTAAATCCTCCCCGGCCAGGATACGAACCCATGACATAGCGCTCGCGGAACGCCAGGCGAGTGTCTTACCACTACACCACGGAGACTAAATGGAACATTACAATAAAATGATAATAAGGTATCCCAACAGTGGATGCCTTATTCTGACAAAACCACAATGTATCCCTATGGATAATAGCTAAAGAATGAGCACTGTAGATTACAGTTATCCATTTAGTTTTTGTGTATTGAAGTTACAACATTAGTATTTTGCATTAAGTCTTAAGTTTTAGTCTAAGTGTTTTTCCCACACCTTGCCCGACACCTTGCCCGAAACGCTACTAGAGTATTAGTGGTTTTAGGCATAGTATGTACTAGCTCTATTAGAAATCCAACATCATGTTTGTAACTCATTTTGAATATATGTACTTTTACCTGAATCAACTATTTTATTAAAAAGCAACCTACCTTAATACATGCAACATGAAGCGGTGTTTCTCCCTTCGAGTTTCTTTTATTAATAATCGGAGTGCCAGGACTCTTTCCCAGGACACTCGAATCAAACAACTTCAGCAACTTATTATCCGGGGTTACAGGGAAAGATGGACAACTTTTATTTGGTTTAAAGTTAGTCACGGAGGAATTGGTAGGGGACTTCCTCCCACTACTCTTCTTTCCACCAATCTGCTTTGAAGCCGACTTTACTTTCTTTCCAGCTTTACTATTACTCATGTTATTCTTGATCTTCCCTTGATTCGGGCTAATTTTCTTGACCTCAATTTTGCTATTATCACGGTGACTAGTGTTGATGTCACTCTTATTGACAGGTTGAAATTTTGAAGAACAGTTTAAAGATGACTTGGTACTGATATTCTGCAGGAGATTAGAAGGCCTGATTTGTCTCTCTGGGGTACACAATGCACGGGAAGGAGCCTCCAGCCCAGCCTCCGTGCTGAAATGTTTAAAAAACGAAGCTAAGAATTGTCTCGGTATAATTTCACCTGCATATATACAAGTTTCATCCTAGTACAGTAGGCAGTATAGGATACATAATGCACATTCTAACACCCATACCAGCCTACCATCTAGTGTAGTTGTGATTCATCTACAGTATATACATAGTTTCCTCCATACCATTCCTATCATTCAGTATAGAGCCATGAATAGTTTCTCCATACCATTTACTGTATCCAGTAGTGGTTCATGCATACTTCCATACCATTTTATCATCGAGCAATTTCAGATACAGTACAATATAACCATTATCTCATTCTTTCTCTAGTTATATACTCACTGTATTTACTTATTTTTTTTTAATTTCTGAGACACCTAGCACAAGAAATGTGCTACATAGGTCTGAGTTCAATCTGACTGCACAAATCTAATTTCCTAGTGGCTTATGTCTCCACTCAAGTGGCTGATGCAGTAAACATAGAAAAACATGAGGTATATTATCTTGCACCATTTAATCATGTGTAGCCTGAAAGACACTTCTAAATACTGTATAAACAAAATTTTGTTATAGTTAACATATATTAGTACAGTATTGTATTGATAACTTCAACTGACCCATCAATGTGGCCACCCTTCAGCAGTTTCCTCAGATCCTTAGTGGAAGCCGCAAGACCAGATATGATGCGGTCGGGCTTCATCTCACACGGGGGTGCTGGGATCTTACACACTGGACAAGTACCATTCTCAAGGCTCCCAGTACACTCAGCACAAAAAAAGTGATCACATCTGCCCAGACACTGAGGGTCTGTGGCTATTTCATTACTGCAAAGACAAAATTAATTAAAATATTATGCATTCTGTAAATTAAATGATTATCAATTTTACATACATGTGATTATTACTCTATTTTAGGTTTTCTATACAATGCATACTTTAATATTTATTATTGGAACGCAAAATATAGGTAATGTATCAAGTATGAGAGAGGTTTAGTTCACCCACAAGAAGTATAGTACCATCTTGAGGTTATCTCGAAATGATTTCGGGGCTTTAGTGTCCCCGCAGCCCGGTCCTCGACCAGGCCTCCACCCCCAGGAAGCAGCCCGTGACAGCTGACTAACATCCAGGTACCTATTTTTACTGCTAGGTAACAGGGGCATAGGGTGAAAGAAACTCTGCCCATTGTTTCTCGCCGGCACCTGGGATTGAACCCAGGATCACAAGTCCAGAGTGCTGTCCACTCGGCCGACCGGCTCCCTACCGGTACTGTATGTACCATACAGTACATATATATCTACACACAAAAACCACAATAATGTGATACAATATCAAATGAGCAAATCCACAAGGGCCTTGATAGGGGTTCGAATCTATGCACTGGATGTTCCCAGACGCGCTCTAGTCAACTGTACCACGACATGGTTAAAAGAATCGTAACACAGTTGACTAGAACGTGTCTGGGAATATCCAGCGCATAGGTTCAAACCCTCATCAAGGCCCTTGTGGATTTGTACATATATATCTATGGGCTGACAGCACATCTAAAAGGACCAAAACACGATAAGATCAGAGAGCACATGATAGATACCTTGTACTTGGAACATACCCGGAGAGGGTTTTGGGAGTTCTTCTACTCCCCAAGCCTGGCCCAGGCCAGGCTAAATATATTTAATCATATTTATCAACGAGTTCATCCTGTCCATTAATGACAAACAGGGAATCCAAAACTTGAGAGAAGAATAATGAAGTTTGGGAATGAGACTTCCTTAAGGTGCTTCATGAACAGAATGGAGGGCCAAGAACAACGGTTATGTGGTGGTGAAGTTATTTCTGCATCAATGATGCAGAAAAAGGGGACAACATATGCTGTCGTTCGAGATGCACCGTTTGAGATGCCATACAGTGTTCTGCAGATGGCATTCTTGCGATATTGGACTGTGCTTGGAGTCCGGCCTGACCGATTTACATCTGATCCAGCTAAGGGGGGGAGGGTCCTAACTGGAACCTGGACAGTTGCTACGGAACTTTTGAAGGGGATCCCATCATCGCCGCAAGTTGCAGGCAGCAATATCCGTGTTTAGTATCAGGGTCAAGAGAGGAAGTGCTTCAAGTGCAGGCTACCTGGGCACTTGGTGGAATCGTGCACAATAGCATTGGGGGACCAGGCAAATGTTCTGTCAGAGGCCGATTTTCCATCTCTGGCGGGACCAGTGACATACGGGCAGTGGGGGTTAATGACGACTCCTTGGAGGAATCCTGATTGGTCAATAAGGTTGAGAGTGGAGTTAATGAGGTGACTCCCCCAGCTCTGTTGACAGTTGTTAATGACAAGACAGTTGTTGATGGTGTGACGGAGGGTGGGGAAAGTCTGTCAGATATGCTTTGTGATGAGGTGGTGAGGCATAGTAGTAATAGTGGTGGTAGAAAGAATAGTGACTTTCTCGTCACCATTACAGCAAGGCAGACTGATTAAACGGTAAGTGGTGAAGTATTAGTAAAAACATCCAAGAGGAGGAAACAAGAGTGAATACTCTCGACAGTGACCCGTTGGCCACTGTTTGAGATCAACCTGAGGCAGGTGGGAGTGGGGAGGTGAACTGACGCAGGTGGGAGTGGGGGGGGGGGGGGGGTGGACTGACGCAGGTGGGAATGCGCAGGTGGATATGACATTTCTCAAGAATCATATGTACGACAATCATCAAGCCAAGTTTCGATCAACCAGTTAAAGAGCAGCCTTGCTCTAACACTAGTCAGGTTAAACCAAATAAATAACTACGTAGATGACTCGCCGTGAGCGCCCATCAGCAACAAAATGTTTTTACTCTTGGGATTGTAATCACCTCCACACTTGTTCTACAGCGTTAATTTTGGTATCAATGGACTCGCAATGAAATTCCCAACACGGTGATATGAATATAAGCGTTGAATAATGATTGCGGCCCGCCCGCAAGAGTGTGGTTAGTGGTGAAATTGTTACCCGGTATCGGTGACGGGACGACGCACGGCGCTTTGAAAGTTTATACTTATTTCACTCTCATGACATTAATTTTCTATGTACGTCATTCATTTTTATGTCAATGTGTTCGCAATAGAATGTTCTATGTGCCCATAGGTAAAAAATATCAACAAAGCGTAAGTTAGAATAGCGACAAATATAAAACAACGCTGGAACATATCAGCGAGCGTCAAACACACACGAAATATTTTTACTTTTGTTATGTTTGTCAATATTATACTTGTTGCACACAGTTATTTTTGGTGTTAAGGGGGATATGAAGCCGTCTGACCACAGTATCTGGGGCTCCGGGGCAGTCCCATCCAGAAACAACACTCGCTCTGATGCACCTGAATGCTGCAGCCAGCATTAACTCACCTAACAGGCTGAACTTGTGCTTTTTCAACCATAGGGTTGTAAACCCGTGGAACCTCCTACCCGCCGAAGCCGTAAACGCCAAAATTCTGAGTTTTATAGTACAGCTAGAAAAGATCATCAGGGCCAATGGGGGGAACCGTTAACAAGCCTCCGGCTTCCTGTCCTCGTCCAGGCCCCTAGTATTAGTGGCCCTCAGCTAAATTCAGGTAACACTGGGTATAGGCTTAGACATGACCATCAATAAGTTGTAAACACAGCGCCTCAGGGTTATTGACAATAGGCAAGTAACATACACCTCAAACACCAATCCTTCGCTTACCAAACGCTACATTTTAGCAGAACTTCAAGCTGTTGAATGGCTTGCAGGGAGTGTTCCCAATCAAATAGTTGAAAGACGTCCATGGCCGAGTGTTTACTGCCTCCCGCCTCAGCCCGGGCTCACTGGTCGCTTCGTACACAACAACAACAACACGCGCGCCAAACACCACTAATCTACGATGATAATAATAATAATAACAATAACAATTTGTTTATGAAAAGTACATACATAGTTGCAGAGTTACAGTACAAACATTCTGTTTGATTTAAAGATAGAGGTAGTACATACAATACCTAAAGCCACTAGTACGCATAGCGTTTCGAATGATGTTGGTACAACGTTCGAACAGGTTTTAATTTTAACAAGTTGTAACATACAATATAGCAGGTTGTAACCACGTTCTAATACGTCATAAAAACGTCATAACAAGATGTAATAACTATATTACAAGGAGGAAAATAGGTACAGTTTCGTTTTGTGTCTGCAAGGGGGCGGGGGCATACATCTTTACTATTTCCCACACGAAATTTGTTTCAAATATATATATATGATTGGTGAATATTAAAACCACGATATAATGATATTAACAGTTAAAATCTTCTACTTAATAGGCATATAGTTATTAAATGAAGTTGCGTGATAGGATGGTCATAATTTAGGCATCATAAGAACGACGTCCGCGAGCGTTAACCCTACACATCAACCCTCAAACATGATCGAGCGCACAAAATACTACAATTTAGAACAGCCTTCAGAAACTTGTGTAAGGACTCCATCAGAACCTTGTATACCACGTAAGACCAATCCTGGAGTATGCAGCCCCCGCATGGAGCCCGTACCTTGTCAAGCAGGTTTTGTACATGTAGATGGCACACGAGAATGAGTATATGTTTAGCATGTTGAGGGACTTGAACAGAGGGGCTGTGAGTTAGGTTCTTTTAATTACCTTATACAATTTAACGAATAAAAAGGTTTTATTTATTTATTTATTTATTTATTTATTTATTTATGCATATACAAGAATGTACATAAGGAATGTGAGGATACAAATATGGTAATTACAGTCTTGTAAAGCCACTAGCACGCGCAGCGTTTCGGGCAGGTCCTTAATCTAAGAAAATTTTAAGGAGGTAAATACTTGCAAAATTATAGACAAAAAATGATAACAGATTACATGAAATGAAAAAAAAGATGAGAGAAAATTGTAGGTACAGTATATTAAAGCACATAGGTAGCTAAGATTGATTGCAATGACAGCTTGAATGGTAGTTGACAAAAAAATTGGTAGGCATAATACAGCAGAAACAATATAAGATTGGTTGCAATGACAGCTTGAATGGTAGTTGACAAAAATTGGTAGTCACAATACAGCATATGGCTAGCACATAAAAGAAGACAGCAATGAACACAATGATAAGGTTGTTTGAAATTACATAAAAATTAGGAGATTGGGTAACACTAGGTACAGAGCAAATTTAAAGCTCAGTGTAGGAAACTAAGAAGATGAAGTTAGGTACTTTTTGGTTTTGCTTTTAAATAAGGCAAAAGTTTTACAGTTTTTCAATTCACTAGGGAGTGAGTTCCATAGACTAGGTCCCTTAATTTGCATAGAGTGTTTACACAGATTAAGTTTGACCCTGGGGATATCAAAGAGATATTTATTTCTGGTGTGGTGATAATGGGTCCTATTACATCTGTCCAGGGAGAGTTTCAGAGCATGGTTTGCATTTAAGAACAGGGTTTTGTAAATGTAGTTGACACAAGAGAATGTGTGGAGGGAGTTAATATTTAGCAAGTTTAGGGATTTAAACAAGGGAGCTGAGTGTTGTCTGAAAGCTGAGTTAGTTATCATTCTGATAGCAGATTTTTGCTGTGTGATGATGGGCTTAAGGTGGTTTGCAGTGGTAGACCCCCATGCACAGATACCATAATTAAGATAGGGGTAAATTAGTGCATAATATAGTGAGAGGAGAGCAGAGTTAGGAACATAATATCTGATTTTGGAGAGTATACCAACTGTCTTAGAGACTTTCTTAGTTATGTGTTGAATGTGGGTGCTGAAGTTGAGTCTCTTGTCTAGGAATAGGCCAAGAAACTTGCCATCATCTTTATTACTGATGTTAATGTTGTCTATCTGTAGCTGAATTGCATTTGATGATTTGCTTCCAAATAAGATGTAGTAAGTCTTTTCGATGTTTAATGTTAGTTTGTTCGTTGACATCCATAAGTGGACTTTTTTTAATTCATTATTCACAACATTATTTAGTGTATGTGGGTTGAGGTTTGAATAGATAAGAGTAGTATCGTCAGCAAACAGTATAGGTTTGAGAATATTAGAGACATTAGGCAGATCGTTTATATATATAAGAAATAGAAGAGGTCCTAAGATGCTGCCCTGTGGCACTCCAACGGTAATTGGTAGAGTGGACGAAGTTGTATCATTGATGGTTACATATTGGTGTCTGTCACTAAGATAGGATCGGATGTAGTCAAGGGCAAGGCCTCGGATTCCATAATGCTGGAGTTTAAGTAAGAGGTAGTTGTGATTAACAGTATCAAAGGCTTTTCTTAGGTCAATGAAGAGTCCAATCGGAAACTCATTTTTGTCAAGGGCTGAGTAGATAACGTCAAGGAGACTAATGATTGCATCATTGGTGCTCTTTTGGGACCGGAAGCCAAACTGGCAGGGGCTGAGTATGTCGAATTTTATGAGGTAGGAATAGAGCTGTTTGTAAATAATTTTTTCAAATATTTTTGATAGAATGGGTAGATTTGATATTGGTCTATAATTGTTTATGTCCGCCGGATTGCCTTTTTCGTGCCTTAACATCTTTATATTATGATAATCACGACATATCTGCATTAAAATCAGTGTGCAATTCCGGTTTTGGCCTCCACCAATTCAATTTCTTTATTATGCACCCCATACCCATCCCGTGGGCGGTGGTGTAAAGGATTACAGAGGCACATAATCGGTTCAGGAACTGAACCCTCTAGTTCGTTTAGCTAAGCAAATAACAATCTTTGACGCTAGGTACAAAATTATTAATGTATACCGCCGCCTTCTCACTTGTAACTTGTAACTCACTTGTAACACTTATATGCTGTGCTTCCTATTTTAATCTGCTATGTTAAATGGGATTCTTGTATTGTGATTTGTGTATATGTACTCACTGAATTTGTGCGCCCCTTGAGGGACTTGAAGTATAAGGGGAGGGGGGTAGAAATAGCCTAAGCTACTCTATCCCTTTGAGATGTATTTTTTTATTGTCTCAATAAACATACTTGAACTTGAAGTGGACTTTAATGTTTTTTCGGCAGCTTTATTTCCTTAGTTTCCGAGCTGTTTTCTTTACTGTGTATGTTGTAATAAACTATTCCTAGATTTACAGTTGTTTCTCCCTGTGAAGATTATTAAACAATGGTGATTATAACGTTAGTTAGTTTAGTTCATTTATTATGCACCCCATACCCATCTTGTGGGCAGTAGTGGAAAGGGTTACAGAGGCACATAATGGGCTCAGGGACTGAACCCCACAATTCATTTAGCTAAGCAAGTTACAATCTTGATGAGCTAGTTACAAAATTCAATATAAGTCGTCAAATCAACAATGGGTTCGAGATCGACCTCAAGTACAGGTTCTAAATTAAGCAACTGACATATGTGGAGAGCTAGTGTCATAATTGATATGTTTGTCCTGCACACCGCCCCCCATCCAGTGGGCAGCGGTGAATAGGTTACAATCACTCTTAGTTACTACCTACAGTTAGCAAACTGGGGATATTTGGCTAAAATTTCTGGTAGCAGATCATTTGGAATGAAATATTTACACATCGCTGGAACATTGGTTATAGAATTGTCTCTAAATTCCCGTATCTTTTCGCACTCCATCACATAGTGACGGAGGGTGTGCGAATAATTTTGTTGACACAGTTTACATTTGGTCAGGTCTACATCAGCAGATAATGAGAATTCCCAGAGATACTTGCAACCGAGTCTAAGCTGAGCAGTAGTAACATCTAGAAGTCTGCTGATTTTATTGGATGATCAATAGATGTGTGGCTCCTCTTGCATGATAGTATGATGATAGATGGAATTACTGGTGTCAATTTCACTGAGCCTCAGATCTACAAGATCTTGTTGAAGTTCTCGGTGTACTGCTGCTCTCAGATTGCTTATTGACAATCCAAGGTTACACTCAACGGCTCCTTTAAAGGCAGATTCTTTGGCTAACTTATCAGCTCTATCATGCATTCGGAGGCCAACATGAGATGGAGACAACATGAAATGGACTCTTACCATCCTTAATAATTTTATTGTATTTGTGTCTAGCTTCGGACACGAGCATGTTACAGTTATGTCTTAAAGAGTTGAGAGCATTTAAGGATAAGGAGTCACTTACAATTAATGTATCAAGTTTGGAGACTTGTACACATTTCAGTGCAAGGATCAAGGCAAATAGTTCGGTCTGCAGGGTAGAGGCCCAATTGTTTATACGGACTCCAGGGCGCGGAAGTTCAGCCTGGCCAGGGCCGCCAGCAGCCCTTGGGCCAGGGCCGCCAGCAGCCCTTGGGCCAGGGCCGCCAGCAGCCCTTGGGCCAGGGCCGCCAGCAGCCCTTGGGCCAGGGCCGCCAGCAGCCCTTGGGCCAGGGCCGCCAGCAGCCCTTGGGCCAGGGCCGCCAGCAGCCCTTGGGCCAGGGCCGCCAGCAGCCCTTGGGCCAGGGCCGCCAGCAGCCCTTGGGCCAGGGCCGCCAGCAGCTTTTGGGCCAGGGCCGCCAGCAGCCCTTGGGCCAGGGCCGCCAGCAGCCCTTGGGCCAGGGCCGCCAGCAGCCCTTGGGCCAGGGCCGCCAGCAGCCCTTGGGCCCGCACCGGCAGCTCCCAGTCTTTAATTTGGCACCTTTGTGGGACCTTGGTATAAGCCTAACATGTATATATACACTGGCTACCTGTCCCCTACACAATGATTTATAATTACCTATTATTTTATCATTTAATTTAAATATTAAATAAAATAATTCATTTAATTATTATAGTAAGTACTTAATAATTTAATAATAAGTAGCAAGTACATAAAAATTATTAAAAAGTACAGTTTAGTCATACGAGATTCCTAGATTGGAATTCACTACCAAATTTCAATATAGCCAAGTATTTTTAGTGTGAAATGCTGTTATTATATGCATAAATTGTTGTTTTAATAATATTACGCTTAACCACTTGGGCTGGACGGTAGAGCGACGGTCTCGTTTCCTACAGGTCCGCGTTCAATCCCCGACCGCCCAAGAGGTTGGGGCACCATTCCTTTCCCCCGTTCCATCCCAAATCCGTATCCTGATCCCTTCCCAGTACTATATAGTCGTAATGGCTTGGCGCTTTCACTTGATAGTTCCCCCACCCCCCTGAATAATATTATGAGAGCAGTATTTACGGGCTATTCATGCCCGTGCCACCTCTTGGGTGGCTTAATCTTCATCAATCGAGAGCAGTACGTCCTAACCAGACGTTATATGATGATATCCTCAACAGTTGATAAATAAAAGTAATTGTGGAACTCCAGTTATCTAATACTTATCATAAATGGTATAAAACCTTATCATAAGCCAAGGGATTTGTAGATCAGTGTTTAAAGGGAATTCGGAAGTAATAATAACACAGCTGATGCCATCTGTCGGCACAAGAGAACACTATCAACTGGCTGGTCAACAGTGGCCATAAGGTACAGCTTACGCCATCTGTTGACATCAAATTACACTTATAACAAATTACCCCACAAAATACCACTAACGCCATCTAGTTTTTTTCCAACGCACTATAAATAGCCAAACAGCAACCCATAAGGCGGGTTGTTGTGCTCGGGTAGGAGGTTCCAAGCTCCGTCCACAGATGGTATGGGGTGCATAATAAATGGCATATCTTTGTTGACATGCACACAACAGCCAATCACAGGAAGGGATCAGCTAAAGGCTCCATCCACCTAATAAATCATCTTTATTCAGCACACCAGCCTTGCTTATGACATTCTGCTTCAACTTTAATCTATTAATGTTAAGTATTTAAAAGTATTAATATAGTGATAATTAAATACTTCAGGATGTAACGAGTGTTACAGAAACATGGGCTGGCTACCTAACTTGTGACGTCATCAGTGGGGGTTGCCTCACACAAATAATGATACGCTGCTCTGCCCTCTTATTCGAGTAAATTATTCAGTTAGATGGAGATTTCTATCAGGTGCAAAACAGAAATTGTTGTTCTTTTTCACAACAACCTTGTTGTTGTGCACAAGGACCTATTTCTTAGTATAAATTTTATTCATAAAAGAGTGTTGGTATTTTTGACCAGATTTCTAGTGTGTGGTCTAGGCAACATACTTCAGCCACGTTATTGTGACTCATCGCCTGCAGTGTTGGTATTCCTCGCAACAGCCAATCACAGGAAGGTATCTCTGGAAGCTCGGCCTCCTTATGGACTCTGCACATCGCTCTAGCTCATGGCTCTCTGTTTCATCTCTTGTATATACAAACTATGACTTTTTTTCGATTACTGTTATAATTAATAATATGAGATATAAAAGTTTACACAAAATGGCTAAATTCTGCCATTAAACGGACTTTGTCTGGTATACATACAAATATACACCAATTTATTACCATTCATCCATTATTAATTTTAAATGAAATGTATACTGTCTAGTTTTTTTTTCCTCTCGCCATTACTTGGTGCAATATTTGAATATACACCCACCCCACCTCCTACTTATAATATAATTTTGTTACAATTATATTTCAGGGTTACTTAAAGCAGGAGTAATTAAAGCTATATCCAAATTTAACATAAGTTTATTATAATAAATAATGTATACACTTTTTTTTATCAAAAATAAATGAATAATTCATTAATAATCGTGGCCACACTGACGTAGTTATCTTGAAGGTACCAGCAGGAGAAAGCGCCAAGCCATACGACTATATAGCACTTAGAAGGGTTCAGGATAAGGATTTGGGATGGGACGGGGGAAAGGAATGGTGCCCAACCACTTGTGGATGCTCGGGGATTGAACGCCGACCTGCATGAAGCGAGACCGTCGCTCTACCGTCCACCCCCAAGTGGTTGGACACCATTCCTTTGCCCTGTTGTCTAGAGTCTTCCATCTTTGGCGTTGAGAAGCCTATAGTTTCTAGCCACGCCACGGAATCACCTTCATTTCTTAAATATGACGCACATACATCTCATTGTTTTCAACTATAATATTAGCCCAGATATGTACCAATACAAGAAAAAGGATTACAGAATAACGGATATTTATTTATTTATATATATACAAGAAGGTACATTGGGATTGTGAGGATACATAGCATAGTAATTACATTCTTGTAAAGCCACTAGTACGCGCAGCGTTTCGGGCAGGTCCTTAATCTAAGAAACTTATAAGTAGGTAATTAGTTTTTAGTTTAGTTCATTTAGTATGCACCCCATACCCATCTTGTGGGCGGTAGTGGAAAGGGTTACAGAGGCACATAATGGGCTCAGGGACTGAACCCCACAATTCATTTAGCTAAGCAAGTTACAATTTTGATGAGCTAGTTACAAAATTCAATATAAGTCGTCACATCAACAATGGTTTCGAGATCGACCTCAAGTACAGGTTCTAAATTAAGCAACTGACATATGTGGAGAGCTAGTGTCAAAATTGATATGTTTGTCCTGCACACCGCCCCCCATCCAGTGGGCAGCGGTGGATAGGTTACAAATACTTGCAAAATTTATAAAAATGATAACAGTTACATAGCATGAAAAAAAATAAAAGATGAGAGAAAAATTGTAGGTATATTAAAGCACACAGGTAGCTCAGAATGATGGCAATGACAGCTTGAATGGTAGTTTAACAAAACTTAGCAGGCACAATACATCATATCTCACAATCCAAAGAAATAATACTGGCATAAACCTCCCCTAGAAATAAGAATGAAAAAAGCAATGCAGCCTAGCGCAAATTCACAATCATGCTGCAGCCTGTTCTCGCCAGCATTCCCAACATCAAGAAACTGTCGTGCTAAGGTGCCCTAGCCTAACCTACCAGAGGACCCACGAACAGAAAACTGGACAGTATGTCAATTTCATGACCCCATGATTCTTTGACTAAGTCACCTTTATCCTGCATTTGGAGGCCAACTTGTGATGAAATCCACATGAAATGGACTCTTTGTTACCACCATTAATAATTTTGTTGTATTTGTGTCTAGCTTCATACACGAGCATGTTACAATTGTATTTTAAAGAGTTGAGTGCAGTTTTTGACGATGAAGACTCACTTACAATTAATGTATCAGTACACATTACATACACGTACACATTTCAGTGGAAGAAGTAAGGGAAAATAATTCAATCTGAAGAGTAGAGGCAATTGTTTATATGGACTCTCCACTCAAAATATAAGCCATTGAAATTGAAATAAGTTTATTGAGGTAAAATACACACAAAAGGACGAGGTAGCTCATGCTATTCTCACCCGTTCAGTACATCGTGTTAATACACACACATCACAAGCAATAAACGTATTACCGAACATTCTGAGAAATAAATCATATAAGCCATCGCCCACTGTCAGGACAACTGTACTTCCAGCGGCACCTGTGGGGCGCTGTAGGGAACCATCAGTGTATATGGTTTGAGAGAGAGACTGCTCTGTGAACAGTATCAATATGGTTTAAGGCGTTGAGCTTTTCCTCTGACGAGCTTGGGCTGATGTTTTATTTGCTTCTTTGGTAGAAAGGGAAGAATTAAAATTGAAATGGGGTAATCTCCCACGGTGCAGGAAAGTGCCGCTGTTCTCTCTCGGTTCAAATTATAAATCTGATCTTAGTCTTAGATCCATTTAGTTCCAGTCATAGTAATTCGTTTAGAACAATGTTAAGAAATTATGGAGGGCCTCTGAGCAAGGGTTAAGATGAGCTAACTTAAGCATTTTATACCAATTTGACAGTTAATTTCCGTAACACGATCAATAACGCTCGGAATATTAAGTCCCTTTCTCATATTGAGTATCTTCGTGATACGAGGGCACCCAAGGATTATCCTCAAGGCTTCGTTCTGCAATTTATCAAGCCCTCCAAACTTTCAGTCATCAAAGCAAGCATAGGTGCAGCATAACACACTAAAGATCTGATGCATGAAAGATACACCTTTTTGACCATTCTGACATTGGCACCATAGCCTGAATGATAACCTGCAACAGCCTTCAGAGCTCTGAGCTTCTTTGTATACTGACGACAGAGTCTGATTACAATAGGACCATCCAGTGGGACCTCAAAGACAAGGTATCTGAATCTGTTTACATAGTCAAGCTGGGAGCCATCATACAGTTGCATCTTGTGAACAGCTCCTCCCTGCCTGGGTGGGCGCCGATTTAGTACCTTTGTTTTCTCTGTTGAGACGATTAAACCTAGGTCCTGACACGAGTCTAATACAGAGTTAAGTGTCTTGCTTGTTAGCATACCCAGTGATGTGTATTATGATACCAACATCAACATTATATATCATCAGCCAATGATGTGTACGTTGGATTTGCTCGGCCACAGTTTAATAGCTCATTTATTAAAATATTAAATAAGGTTGGGTTGAGGATACATTCAAGAGAGGTGCCTAGTTCAAGGTTTCTCGTTATGGTCCTTTCTTGATATGGTTCTGTTAGGTTAGGTTATGTTATGTTTGACTATGTTAGGTTAGGATAGGTTGGGTTAGGTTAGATTAAGATAGGTTGGGTTAGGTTAGATTAAGATAGGTTGAGTTAGGTTCTATTAGGCTACGATAAGGTAGGTTAGGCTGGGTTGGGTTAGGTAAAGTTGGGTTGGGTTGGGTTAGGTTAGTTTACATTGGGGTAAGTTGGGTTTGTTTAAAGAGTAGCGAGAGTTTAAAAACGTAGAAGGTTGCATACTATTCTCAGGTCTTAGACCCGACACACACAAATTGTAGTTTACTTCTTGGGTTGCGTGGCCTGCTTGATGATCGCCTCGAGCTTCTTCTGAAAAACACACGAACACACACTGTGTTAACGAAATTATTCCACAGTACCCAGCCACTTGGGCTGGACGGTAGAGCGACGGTCTCATTTCATGCAAGTCGACTCCTTCAATCCCCGACCGTCCAAGTGGTATGGGCACCATACCTTAGACTACATCTGGTATTCAATATGAATGAATCGGACATAAGAAATTCACCTCTGACACCTACTACAGGATCGGGCGTGCACAGTATGATCTCACATTTGAGCCGCTTGAAGAAAAAGGCGCCGTTCGGGAAGGGATCAAAAGCTATAAGGCTGGCATACTGAAGTCAATATTATGATGATTTAGGAGAATTTCTGTCTGGATTAACAAGGGATTCAGATCTGAGTGCGGGGAAAACCATAAATAAATTACGGAATTCTTCGGTCAAAAATGCTAGGATGCAGCTGAATAATTTATACCTAAATAAAGAGAAGAGCTGATGTGGGGGACGCTGGTTACTATAATAAACCCGGAGTTTAAATAAGGGAATAAGGAAGCAAAACTCTCAATCATGAAGGCTCGTTAAAACTACAATAACAAAAAGATAGCCTAAAATAGAAAGGCACCAAGAGGACCAGGAATGAGTACCATAGAGTGAGAAAACAAAGTTAAGTGGCAATTTGACAATTATCCAAACTGCACTATAGCTACATCGAGAGGAAAGCAGCAGTAAGAAGAAGTGTTGAATTGTTGATATGAAGGTCGAAGATTTGCTGGACAGTCGAGAAGATAAAGCTTACTGGAGAGACTTCAGCAGTGTTACCTGCAGGACTCTTGAAGCTAGGAATCCCTTCACAGAAGGAGAGACTATTTGGACGTGCATCAAGAGAGTTAGAAAGGGAGCTGATGGTGAAAAGGAACCAGCACATATATGGGTCATGCAGCACAGTGGTCTACGTCCTCGACTCAAAACCCAGGCACTTGGGTTCAATACCCAAATTACTCAGGGGTATTTTACTCACAGGTAAATTACTCAGGGTATTGGAATTTACTCGGGTAAATACCCGGGCAGGACAGAAAAGGTTGGGCACGGTTCCTTTCATCACATGCCTCTGTTCACCTAGCAGTAAAATAAGCACCTGGGATCGTTAGACAGTTGTTATGGGTTGTCGGAAAATCCGACACCATTTAATATATCATACAGATAATTGCTGTTGTATAAGCAAGTTACCCATAGAAAACGTAACTTGTAGTGGAATTACCATCTAAAGAAAACGGGATATCATCACCACATACCATTATAATTCACCAGCTATTCTGCTGGGAATTATTCTTAAATACATTAGTCTTTGGACTTTACCATCATAAAAACATCTTATATAAATTAACTTAATTATCAATATTAAAGTAGAGTAAATGTGACCCTTCTATCACTTTCTGACATGTGGACAAAGTAGGCCAGGCGTCAGGGAGGAAGGGGGCAGCCATTGTTATACGAGACCAGAGGCTCACACGGGAGCAAATTCGGCTCCTGTTAATTTTACTTGGACGTAGTGTTATGGATACCAAAGGTGTACCATCTGTCAACACGCTGTCAACAAATCAAGTTAAGTGTTCTTTCCGAAACCCATTATTTATCATTAGTGGCCATTAATGTCATTATATAGGGTGACCCGGTTAGATCACATGGAAGCCTCAAACTAAAGGTAATTAAGCCAGGTCTTCATGTTCCATGTACTGTTTTCTCTGATATACTTGTCATATATAGGTATCTGGCTTCACAGCTAGCGCACTTTTGACAGGTCAAGACGAGGATGCAAGATTTGTGCACCAGTTACTGGGTGATATGGAAGCTACCTCAAAGAGGATAATTTGGTGTCTACACCCTAGTTATACCTGGTGGACTAACCTGCTGTACTATAAGATAAGGAACCTCTTTAATGTATGTAGTTATTTCTGTAGTTTGATTGGCTGCATATATATATTAATTTAATAACCCCCCCCCTAATGTGTAGAGGATCGATTTGTGAGATTATGAGATTATTGCAGAAATACAGTCCACTTATCATTATACAAATTGCTATCGAAGTATATAAATTAACGTAAATATAAATTCATATAAATTAAATAAATATAAATCTCACAGGTCGGTTCCCACATTATTTGGTCATCTTCGAACCGGATGACGGATTATTTGATCCTTTGAACCCACATTTGGTCATCTTAGTACCGGATGAACCAGTTAACCAGTGGATTCATTAAATATACTAGTGCAGTGTTATTTAAACAAAGCCAGCAGTCAAGACGGCAGCGTAGCCTCGAGGGAGCTCAGGAGCCTCCCTCAGCCCAGTTCAGCTTCGTCAGCGGTTTCATGCACACCCACAGATATTTGGTGGCGTGTTATTTCGTGAAATGACAGCACTAATATAGAAGCCAGCCAAACTAGTGACTGTGTCGCGATATTGTTCACGGATTTCGTGGTGTTACATTTCGCGAGAGATTATCTACGAATTTTGTGGACTTTATTTCGCGAGGTCACTAATAACATTTAATACTTCTTGATAATATTAGAAGTTTCATAGAGGCTAATTAAGAGGCTATTATCAATAATTGTGTATATTATTTCTCCAAAATAGAGAATTATTTAATATATATTGCACTAGTGATCACAATATATTTACTAATTGCCAACCCACAACAGGGTAGGATATGACTAGTTGAACTATTATTGTTCATCCTAGTCCTATTATTACCATAGTCAGTTGTACTATATTGAACAACCTAACACCATTAATGAATGGTCCAGACCCTATTTTGGGTGTAATTTTTATCAACTCGAGTTGAGTTGTGTATATATAATAATTTACTTATGATCATTACACCTTTGAGTGATTAATTAGTGTCTCTACCATCCTAGGGTGATATAGAAGAGCTAACCTAAAGGTACTTCCAGTGACACTGGTTTATCACTCAAATCATTAGTGTGTATGATTGTATATATATAATGTGTATTAATTTTAAGTGCTAACCTCTAGTAGAGGTAGGATTATTGCCTAGTGAGTGCAGAATTTAACCCTAGGCTACCATCAGTGCTTGTTCAGTATTATGAGCAGCCCAAATACAAGCCCCACAAGGCTTCACCAACTAGCCAGGATGGATAATGCAGGGAGAATGAAAAGAACCCTTGCAGGTCTGAAAGGCCACTTAACAAGACAGATCAAGAAATGTGAAGATTTGTCACAACAATCTCAAGTTGATTATGCTGACCTGGAAAGCTATTATCAAGCAGCTGCAGGTAAATTTGAGCAAATCAAATGCCAAATAGCAACATATGTGGCTGAACTTGCCAACACCAATTTATCAGAAACAGAAATAGACGACATTATGGTTGATCTTGCGAATTATGAAGATCACACTCAGGCCACGTTACAGCCTTATGTCAAATTAATTGCCCAGAACAAGGCAGCAACAACAACAACAGTTGCATCTAATACGAGTCAAGCAGAAGCTCGACTCCCTCCAATTAATTTACCCACTTTCTCAGGAAAAGATGAGGAAGATTGGGATGAATTTTGGAACAAATTCGTTGACCTTGTAGACTCAAAACAATCTTTACCAAAGAGTAGTAAATTCTCTTATTTGCAAGGCCAATTATCAGGTGAGGCTAAAACAGTAGTATCCCATCTGAGATTAACTAATGATGGCTATGATCTGGCAGTAAAACTCCTCAAGGATAATTATGCTGATCCAGAAGTAAGAACATCACATTTAGTTCATGAGCTGTTGCATTTACCCCCACCGGAGGCTTCAGCTGATTCACTCCAAGTCTTCAAGCTGGAGGTAGAATCATTGATCAATGCCCTCAGCCTGACAGCAGATACAAACGGGGCTGAGTGGGTCTTGAAAATAATTGTCCAGGAGAAAATACCTAGGGACATATTGAGACAAATGAGTGCTCATTACAATAAAAGCATCTTATCCATGAATGAAATATCTGAAGGTTTAAAGTCAGTAGTTCATCAATTACGAACACATGACAAATTAAAACCACCAAGTAAACCCTCAGAAACCAATAATAGTAAACCACAGAGTACCAAAGGTACTCCAAATCAATCTAGACAATATAATTCAACACCAAAGTGGAACAGTAACAGTGTGGGCGTATATGCAGTGGGACCCTCCAAGCCTATAGTTACTGTGTCACCCAAGAACGTCACACCAAAGGGTACTGGAAACTATGGAACATGTTTGTTCTGCAATGAGAAACATTCAATGTACCACTGCCCTAATTTTCCTGATAGTGACGCCCGTGTTGAGCGACTCAAAGATTTGCAACATTGCACGAGGTGCCTCAGGAAACATAACATCAAGGATTGTGATACCCAATTACACACCTGTAATAGGTGTAACAAAGGTCAACACCATGCAGCATTGTGCAGAGACACCAAAACAACGTCTCCAAACCCCAAGGTGGAAGATAGCATTCCCACCTCAGTACAGTACTGCAAGGTGCAACAAACAAAGAGTGTCCAATCGGCAAAGTCTAAAGGTAATACGACTTTGCCTACTGCCCAAATTACCATCCTGAATAAGAGGGCCAAGGTCCATACCCGTGGGTTGTTTGACCAAGGATCCCAGAGAACATATATCACTAAAAAGCTGGCAGATGAATTACAATTAAGGCCTGTAGCCCAGACGTCATTCAACATCTCAGGGTTTGTAACAGATGCAGGACCTCAAGTCTACCAGGTGGTACAACCATCAGTACGTTTAGGCAGGTACGTCTGTCGAGTACAAGCCATTGTGGTGGACAAAATACCAGTAGACCTACAAGTTCAAGGTCTGAGAGCAACAGCCAAATTCCTGAGAAATAGAGGAATAAAATTGGCAGATAATATTAAGTCTGATCACCTCACTGACTTCGGTCTCCTTGTTGGGACAGACTATTGTCATCGATTCATCGGTAGCCCTACTAAATATCAGGGTATAACCATGTTATACTCTGCAGGAGGTAAATTACTCTCAGGCCCAGTATCAAGCCTGAGGAGACCTATGCCTGCAGATAAACAATACCAATAGAATCTGAATTTGTCAGCTGATTATATTTCTCCAGTAGCATTATACTAAGGAGATTACAGCTGACTATACCAACAGAGGTTGATGTTAGTATCATCATTTGAAGCTGAAGATGAGTTCATGAGGCCTCAGTGGCAAATCAGTGAACAGTAGCCTAAAACAGCTGCAAGTCACTGCGACCAATGTCACTGAACCCACTGCAGTCTCAGAACCATACTTTACTTTAATGATGAGCTATTCAATCTTCTGAATCAATTAACTAAATTAAACCCCAATAAATCTGATGACTGATTTGATACATTTATTATTTAATCAAGATGTATTCCATGGGCCTCAGTGTTTATATATCAGTGACTAGTTACCTGAACAAACTTCAAGTTATATCTAATGTCACTGATCTCACTGCAGTCCCTGAATCATACTTGACTGTATTACTTGATCACATTCAGTCTTCTGGGTTAAATAATATGTAATAAGGCTTGAATATTAGCCTTTCAAGAGTTGACAGGGAAATGAAATCGCATTAGACTTCTAACCCCTGCAACTCTAGTACGGGACATCCGTCCTGTACGAACAGACGCACAAATGTGTGATTACTAACAACTAACATCAAATTAATCTAATAATCCGAAGGAGGAGTATCGGTGTTCGTCTGTTCTAAATAGGACTTCGACCCGTGAGCAGCCCCCTGGGGAATTATGTCGGAAAATCCGACACCATTTAATATATCATACAGATAATTGCTGTTGTATAAGCAAGTTACCCATAGAAAACGTAACTTGTAGTGGAATTACCATCTAAAGAAAACGGGATATCATCACCACATACCATTATAATTCACCAGCTATTCTGCTGGGAATTATTCTTAAATACATTAGTCTTTGGACTTTACCATCATAAAAACATCTTATATAAATTAACTTAATTATCAATATTAAAGTAGAGTAAATGTGACCCTTCTATCACTTTCTGACATGTGGACAAAGTAGGCCAGGCGTCAGGGAGGAAGGGGGCAGCCATTGTTATACGAGACCAGAGGCTCACACGGGAGCAAATTCGGCTCCTGTTAATTTTACTTGGACGTAGTGTTATGGATACCAAAGGTGTACCATCTGTCAACACGCTGTCAACAAATCAAGTTAAGTGTTCTTTCCGAAACCCATTATTTATCATTAGTGGCCATTAATGTCATTATATAGGGTGACCCGGTTAGATCACATGGAAGCCTCAAACTAAAGGTAATTAAGCCAGGTCTTCATGTTCCATGTACTGTTTTCTCTGATATACTTGTCATATATAGGTATCTGGCTTCACAGCTAGCGCACTTTTGACAGGTCAAGACGAGGATGCAAGATTTGTGCACCAGTTACTGGGTGATATGGAAGCTACCTCAAAGAGGATAATTTGGTGTCTACACCCTAGTTATACCTGGTGGACTAACCTGCTGTACTATAAGATAAGGAACCTCTTTAATGTATGTAGTTATTTCTGTAGTTTGATTGGCTGCATATATATATTAATTTAATAACCCCCCCCTAATGTGTAGAGGATCGATTTGTGAGATTATGAGATTATTGCAGAAATACAGTCCACTTATCATTATACAAATTGCTATCGAAGTATATAAATTAACGTAAATATAAATCTCACAGGTCGGTTCCCACATGGGTTGCATAGTCGGGAAGGTCAGTATAATTGTCAAAGGAGGACCTCGGTAAGTCACGGGAGACATCTCCCGTCACGTAGGGTGCAGTTCCACCTCCACAGATCTCCAGTATCAGCTCTTGATACTGGTAATGGCTCAAAAGGGCCACCACTTACGGGCTATTCATGCCCGTGCCACCTTTTAGATGGCTTAATCTTCTCTCTCGGTAAGTCTAAGAACAGGCTTCTTGTCCGTGACAACTGGAATTATATCGTGGCCAGCTGCGAGTATGGACATCGTACATGACACACCAAAACATAGGAACGCCTCAGCAGCGACATACAGAGAGGAATGACGATGTAACAATTAAAAGCAGATAAGTGTCTCACCGTAAATACTGACCAGTCCAAGTGGATGGACATCAAAGGAGTGAATTGCCAACTGTATAGAGAACAGCTAATGTGACACCTAGATACGAAGAGGGAATAGAGGGCTGTCACTAACATACATTCACTGTAAATTACTGGAGGAACTAATTTAGAAGACTCGAGACTATATGCAAATTATGCTTCAAAGTAAACAAAACCATATAATGTGTAACAATTTCATTACCATTACCATCATTACCAATTTTAATTTCCATTACCATTACCAAAATAGCAACAACAAAGTGGACAAGAGAGAACAATTATAATGAATATAAATAGAAGAGCATGATTGGAGCCGCAAGACAGTGATGAACAATATTTGCCACGTGAGAAAAATACTCCTTTAGCCTAACAGAAATAGGAAATTGGTGGAGGTGTCATTATATTTGATAAACTGTGGCTAGAAAGGCAGGATCCAAGAGATGAAGCTCACACACGCAAGTACAAATAGGCAAGTATACACAGAGGATCAATCACAGGTATTCAGCATACCTTAAGTATCTCTATCCTGGCTTGGTGTACAGTCTTGGTTTCCTCGTGTTTATCCGCCTCAGCTTGCCTGGCCTCCTGGGCCTCCTTCTGCAGCTGGTCGATCTCCTCCCGAAGTGAGTGGGCCCGCGCCTCCATGTCCCCGACCTGCGCACGCAGCTCGTCGCAGCGGGCACCCACTTTCACCTTGTGTTCCTCAGCCTGCAGGGATGCATTGCTGTAACACACTAAGGTACTACGGGCTCACCATAGCCCGTGTTACCTAGAACTTTTTGTTCCAGGTAGCTAATCTTTAACAACATAACATGTAACACACCCCTAGCCCCAGCCGATTGTGAGCGAAGGACGTAGACCACTGTGCTGAAGACCCTCCTATAGCCTATTCTTTATTAATCTGCTGCAGGTTCAGTTAATATGGCAGCTATGGAGTGTATTTCTACATGCAAGATGCTACAGTCTAAGTGTTGGCCCCATTAACTTCAATTATACTATATTACTCTATGCTCTGTTATGTTCCAAGAAAATTGTACGTGTCCAGTTTCTTTTCTTAATTACACATTGTACTTCCATTGTTATTAATATAAATAAACTACTGTACTGTTGATAGAATTACAGACTCCATGCTGCAATAGCCTATGCCTCTCATCCTTAAGTATCGCCTTTTTGCTGTATTCATTTGTTATTTTCTTTTAACGTTATCATTTTGTTAACTTATCTTTTAGTATTAAGTGTTTTACCCCCTCACACCTTTAGTTTTTGTTTATATTAAGTTTTGCCCGAAACGCTTTGCGTGATAGGCTTCATTAGCATGTGTAACTCCTGTTCCTTACAATGGTACATTACTCTTATATTCTTTGTACGCACATTTATTTTATACAAATAATAATAATAATTATTATTAAGATTTTGCATCTGTCAGTACTGAAAAGCATTTACCCGTCTTCATTTGGGAAGTTCATGATGTAGGTATTGACAAGATTTCAAAGGCGTATTCGCTTCCCACTTTAGCGGTGGAGGATGGGAAAAGATGCTAGTTAGTTACGGAAGATTACACTGCCACGAGACGGAGAGTAGTACAGTACGTGATACCTGGTTGATGGGGTTCTGGGAGTTCTTCTACTCCCCAAGCCCAGCCCGAGGCCAGGCTTGACTTGTGAGAGTTTGGTCCACCAGGCTGTTGGTTGATACCTGGTTGATGGGGTTCTGGGAGTTCTTCTACTCCCCAAGCCCAGCCCGGGGCCAGGCTTGACTTGTGAGAGTTTGGTCCACCAGGCTGTTGGTTGATACCTGGTTGATGGGGTTCTGGGAGTTGTTCTACTCCCCAAGCCCGGCCCGAGGCCAGGCTTGACTTGTGAGAGTTTGGTCCACCAGGCTGTTGGTTGATACCTGGTTGATGGGGTTCTGGGAGTTGTTCTACTCCCCAAGCCCGGCCCGAGGCCAGGCTTGACTTGTGAGAGTTTGGTCCACTAGGCTGTAGCTTGGAGCGGCCCGCAGACCCACATACCCACCACAGCCTGGTTGGTCCGGCACTCCTTGAAGGAAACAATCTAGTTTCCTCTTGAAGATGTCCCCGGTTGTTCCTGTAATATTTCTGATGCTCGCTGGTAGGACGTTGAACAATCGTGGACCTCTGATGTTCATACAGTGTTCTCTGATTGTGCCCATGGCACCTCTGCTGATAGATAAGACAGCTACCGATTGATTGATTGATGAAGATTAAGCCACCCAAGAGGTGGCACGGGCATGAATAGCCCGTAAGTGGTGGCCCTTTCGAGCCATTACCAGTATCAAAAGATGATACTGGAGATCTGTGGAGGCGCAACTGCACCCTGCGTGACGGGAGATGTCTCCCGGACCAAGTGGTGACCAAATGGTGACAGCTACCGAGATGGAGTAACTGAAATTGCGTCAACTTGTACATCAAAACAAATATTGACCAAACCAAAACATACTGACCATTCATCAACTTGGGGCACCAGTGAATAAGGGACCAAATACTGACCATGCATCAACGTGGGAACTAATGTATAAGGGACCAAATACCAACCATGAGGGCCTTCCTAACGCCATAAGCGCAGGAAGAGGTATAGAGGCGTTGGTAGGCATCTAGTGTCTCCCTGATCTCGTCCCTAACACGGTACAGCAGCAAGCCTCGCTCTGCACAGTTGATTGTCACTTGTCTGATCAACTCGTCTGTAAACAATGTAAGATTCGCAGTCAACTCTTCAAGTACTTAAAACCCAACATGCAAAATATCTAAGAATGGTCAAACATCGTTTATAAATAGCATCATTAATACACCGAACAAAAGTTTCGGTCTCATATGCATGGACACCATCTCACATAGGTGTTGTCCAGCATGATTGTTGTCCAAGGGAGCAAAAACTGCATGTGATAAGCCTGAAATTGAGTTAGATCTGGGCATTTCAATCTCTGTTGTAACAGCCGTAATATTACAGGAAATTAGGGATGGCAGAAGAGCAGTTACTGACACTCAAAGGCCAGAAAGCACGAGTATAAAGAGCTATGACATGTTTAGAACCGAGAATTATATGTACGGACCGCACAAAACATCCACTAGACAGTGTGACATAGTAATTGCCAGAATTAGGCTGGGATATAGATATCTATGGCAGGTGGCTGCAGGTAATGAATCCCTCAATGGTGAACATTCCAATTGTAAACTGTGTGAACAAGTGCTGGGACATTATATCTGTGATTGCCCTGTTATTAATGGTTTCAGACCAAATGGTATGAGGTACCATGAGCTCTGTTACTACTTCATACATTCACAAATGCTGGAAGATATTCTTGTGCTTTACCCAGAGTTTGCTAGTGCAGGTTAATTGTTTAAACTCGAATTTCTACATGATTTACCTGAGGGCCATTAACCCTAGTGGCCTCGACGAGGACAGGAAGTCGGCGGCTTGTCGAAGGTCCCCATCATTTGTCTTTATCTTTTCCAGGTAGATTTTAAAACTTAACAGTTTTTTGGCATTTACGGCTTCGGCGGGTAGGCGGTTCCACGGGTTTATAACCCTGTGGGTGAAAAAAATCATCTGTTCTCAGTCCATATCATGTCAGACGTAACACAAACAAGGAGCAACAGTTTCAAGCTCAACGAGCCACAGTGCAAGACTGAAAACTGGAGATTTTTTTCACCCACAAGGTGAAAAAGCATGGAACCGCCTACCCGTCGACGCAATAAATGCCAAAAAACTGAACTATATAATCCAGCTTGAAAACATCCTCAGGACAAATGGGGGGAAGCTTTCACAAGCCGCCAGTTTCCTATCCTTGTCGAAACAACTAGTGTGTTGCAGGCGATGAGTCACAGTAACGTGGCTGAAGTATGTTGACCAGACCGCACAGTAGAAGTTGAAGGGACGACGACGTTTCGGTCCGTCCTGGACCATTCTCTCTGGACCTCTTCACAATCGACTTGAGAATGGTCCAGGACGGACCGAAACGTCGTCGTCCCTTCAACTTCTAGTGTGTGGTCTGGTCAACAACTAGTGTGTTAGTGACCCTCAGGGATATTCTCTCCGGATTAAATGTATGACTAACCCACCATGCGAGATGGAGAGATTAGATGAACTTATAACTAGTTTTTGATCTACACTCTGTAAACCCTCATATAGAACAGGGTAGCAGTTAGGTTAGACTCAGGTTAGACTTATAACTAGTTTTTGATCTACACTCTGTACTCCCTCATATAGAACAGGGTAGCAGTTAGGTTAGACTCAGGTTAGACTTATAACTAGTTTTTGATCTACACTCTGTACTCCCTCATATAGAACAGGGTAGCAGCACACTGCTGTGTATACCTAAGCTTGTTACTAAAAAAGCTACCAAAACATTGGGTGTAGAGCTCGCGTCGGACCGGACAGATGCCGGTCTCGAAGGCCGCCTGCTCCTGTAGGCGGAGGTCGAGGTGCTCCTGCAGCTGCTGCACGTCCACGGAGGTGGCCGGGGTCGTTGACACCGACTGTACCCACAGCTGACCTAGGGCAAGCCCAAGGCAAGGAGAGAGATTAAAAGTGATAGGAATATGATCACGACGTATAAGATACTCAGAGGCATTGAGAGGAAGGGAGAGAAATATGGAGAGAGGGAGAAATATTGGGAAAGAGTGAATATTATGACTATATATATAGAATAATAATTGACATCGTTCTCTGTGGTGCTGTGTACTGGTGTGAATGATGCACATTCTAAATCATGTATCGAAAAGCCAGTGACTCTAGCAATTATAACACATCCTCCTGTTTAGATGGTACGATTCACCTTATAGTCCGGAAAAATAAAGTTAAAAACAAATATTCCTAGGCTTAGAATAGCACATATATGTACTATATTAGGCTTCAGCGTGTATTAGGCCTAGGAAGGTTAGGTTAGTTTAGGTTGTCTTTGCAACATAAGTACACGACCTTTTCAGGTTTGTCAAAATTCAACAATAACGATTTCTGCTTTCTAATTATCCATTACGTCATGTATATACTATAGTCAACATCGTTACTTTAATTACTAACTAAACAGGAGGATGGGCTGAATAATTAGTAATTAATCACGTCAGCACATTCAGCTAAAATGCAGGTCCCGGGAGGTGGAACTTCATACTACTATTATGGTACTCGTTATATTCCCCTAACACATCACCAAGAACAATGAATCCACCAATGAGTGGCTTTTATTTTTTAACCAAGACTAGGGTTTTATTAGGACTGGTGCTGATGGTCTTGGTGAAACTACAAACTATAAGAGCTGTCATCCTACATCAACCTTTTGTAAGTGAAGCAGCTGAGTGCGTGGCGGGAACAGGGACCCACCAGACCGCGAGCAAAGCTTATATAAACACTGGCTGTTGCGCGCGCAGGTTGGGCGGTTAGACGCATCTCCACAGACCTACGTTTTCTTCCATCATTTTATTTTTATTTATTTTATTTTATTTATATATATACAAGAAGATACAATGGGTTTGTGAGAATACATTGGATAGTACAGTATATACATTCTTGCAAAGCCACTAGTACGCACAGCGTTTCGGGCAGGTCCTTAATCTAGCAGATAATCAGAAAGCCCACCGCTTTGGAAAGCAGTGTTCTTATTTCACCCTATACACTCATTTGTTTGGTGAATTTATTATTAAGCCTCCACCAGGAATAAACTTGATTCAGTGCTGGCATCCCTTACTCTTCTCCGGCCTCTCACCTGCTTCCTCCCACTCCCTGGGCGGGAGGATTAAGTTCAGTATTTCCTCCGTCTCCTTCTTCCGCAGCTCGTGGAGGGGCGGGAGGAGGAGTCTAGGGGCCGGAGTGGTCCCTAGCGGGCCCCCAGGCGGCAGGGGCCCACTCAACCCGGGCGCGCTGGTGCTGCTCACCTCTGGTGGATTAAAAACAAACATAAGTGAGACTTCAGAAAGTCCATTGGTCGATAGTTGGCATGCAGCTCCTATTGGTCCATACGAGGCATGCAGCTCCTATTGGCCCATACGAGGCATGCAGCTCCTATTGGTCCATACGAGGCATGCAGCTCCTATTGGCTCACTCGAGGCAGATCCTATTGTTTGTGCTTCTACAATAATTATAAGACACTTTAATCCAAAGTCCATTTATTGATTTTATAAATATTTATAAACATCATATTAATGCATTTTTTTGGGGGGGTGGGGGACTTTGAAAAATTATATCATTACACTTAACAAATATTTTTATAAAACTGCTTATAAAAATCCTTTATTATATGCTAATGTGATATCTGAGTGTCATAGAAATGATTTTAGTTGACACGTACGTGTGTGTGTGTGTGTGTGTGTGTGTGTGTGTGTGTGTGTAATTACCTAAGTGTAGTTACAGGATGAGAGCTACGCTCGTGGTGTCCCGTCTTCCCAGCACTCTTTGTCATATAACGCTTTGAAACTACTGACGGTCTTGGCCTCCACCACCTTCTCACTTAACTTGTTCCAACCGTCTACCACTCTATTTGCGAAGGTGAATTTTCTTATATTTCTTCGGCATCTGTGTTTAGCTAGTTTAAATCTATGACCTCTTGTTCTTGAAGTTCCAGGTCTCAGGAAGTCTTCCCTGTCGATTTTATCAATTCCTGTTACTATTTTGTACGTAGTGATCATATCACCTCTTTTTCTTCTGTCTTCTAGTTTTGGCATATTTAATGCTTCTAACCTCTCCTCGTAGCTCTTGCCCTTCAGTTCTGGGAGCCACTTAGTAGCATGTCTTTGCACCTTTTCCAGTTTGTTGATGTGCTTCTTAAGATATGGGCACCACACAACAGCTGTGTGTGTGTATGTGTGTGTGTGTGTGTGTGTGTTGGAGAATTTTGAAAATTCATTGCATAATACATTGTATATTTTTTTCTCCCTTTCTATTTAGGCTGCGATGCTGAAAATTGGACCAGTTGCAGCCCTTTCCATGTACATTTAGTAAATAAAGTTTTAACAAAATTGAACGACTTTTATTTTCACCGTAATATGCCCCTAGGCTACGTTCAAGTATGTTTATTGAGACAAGAAAGAAATACATCTCAAAGGGATAGAGTAGCTTAGGCTATTTCTACCCCCCAATATGCCCCCCCCTAGGCTACTCTATCCCTTTGAGATGGATTTTATTGTCTCAAGAAACGTACCTGAACTTGAACCAGAGTACAGGACCCATTATACTCACCTGATGCATCAGTTGGTATTCCATCTTTCATTGTCAGGTGAGGTACCTGTAGGTGCAGGTGTAGGTGGTTAGTACTCTCAGTTTAATTCATTTATTATGCACCCCCATACCCATCTTGTGGGCGGTAGTGGAAAGGGTTACAGAGGCACATAATGGGCTCAGGGACTGAACCCCCACAATTCATTTAGCTAAGCAAGTTAGCTAAATCTTGATGAGCTAGTTACAAAATTCAGTATAAGTCGTCACATCAATACTGAATTTTGTAACTAGTTAGTACTTAGTACGTTAGTACTTGTTAGTAACTAGTTATAGTACTCTCAACACAATTATATTGGCTCTACTACTTTCACAACTTGTTTTACTTTATTGTATATAAATAAATGTATGTAATTATGTATGTATGTCTGTATATCTACAGTACCTCTACTTACATCAAATTCAACTTCAGACAGACAATATCAACATTAGCAATAAAAATGAAGGAAGTTCCTTGGCCTATACATAGACAATGGACTGAACTTCAGCACCCATATACAGTACAACAAATAATCAAAAAAATCTCAAAAACTGTCGGTATACTCTAAAATCTTATATTATATTCCCCACTCTGCTCTCCTCATTATATTACGCGCTAATATATCCCTATCTTACATATGGTATCTGTGCATAGGGTTCGTCCACTGAACCCTATCAAATCAAATCAAATCAAAATCAAATGTTTATTTAGGTAAAGTACATACATACAAGGGGTGATACAGATTTTGATTAATTTATAGAAAGAGCTAGTACATACAATGCCTAAAGCCATTAAAGCCTACGTGGATGGTTCATCCTCTGTGAGGAATGTAGAGAGAGGAGCGTACGCCTATCCGCCCCCAAGAAGTATGGGACAAAACCTTAAGGAGGGAAAGGGCCTTAGAGCATTCAGCACAAAAGTAAGAGATATGGGCTGACCAAGACAAACGAGTGTCAAAGATTAACCCCAGAAGCTTAGCGGAATCCTTGTACACAAGGGGATGTCCATAAAGAGACAAAGAGGGACGAAGAATGGCACGTTTCCGAGTAAAAGTCATAGCACGAGTCTTAGACGCAGAGAACTTTAAGCCATGATCGGTAGCCCAAGACGACACGGCATCAATCGCAAGTTAAAGCCGCCGTTGAAGGAGAGGCAAATCACCACCCCGACAGCAAAGGGTGAGATCGTCTACATAGAGAGCGGAGAAGACGTCAGAAGGAAGAGAGGAAAGAAGACTATTGAGAGCAACAAGAAAAAGAGTAGTGCTCAGAACACTACCTTGGGGCACACCTTCATATTGCCGAAAAGAGGCAGAGAGAGTGGTACTGAGCCTCACTCGGAAGGAACGACGAGAAAGGAAACTTTGGAGGAAGAGAGGGAGATTCCCACGAAGGCCAAAAGAATAAAGTTGAGACAGAATATTATACCGCCAGGTAGTGTCGTTAGCCTTTTCCAGGTCAAAAAGGACGGCAACAACGGAGGTCTTCGCAGCAAAAGCAGTACGAATATAGACCTCCAAGTTCACCAGGACATCTGTTGTGCTGCGGCATTTACGAAAACCAAATTGAGAAGGGGAAAGGAGGTGATAGTGCTCTAAGAACCACATCAGACGAACGTTAACCATACGTTCAAAGAGCTTGCAGACACAACTCGTGAGAGCAATAGGGCCGAAGTCCTAGGGGGATGACCCGGGAGACCCTGGTTTCCGAACAGGGAGGACAACAGCATCGAGCCAGTCCTCAGGGACTGGCGACGATATGTATATATACACATATCGTATGTATATACATATATACGTCGTATGTATATACATATATACGTCGTATGTATACATACATACATAATATATACATACATATATGTATACATATATATATGTATGTATGTGTGTGTGGGGGGGGGGGAAAGCTGTGGGAAAACTTAAAAACCAAGACTTACAAATAATTGAGATCAAAAAGCATGAACTGAACTGAAATGAATAATAGGAAATAATTAATCATTCAGAACGCCTATTTAATTGAAACACCTGCCACAAAAGAAGTCGATTACTCACTTGATCTTTCTCATCTTTCTTTTTTGTGGTGACAAGGACAGGCGTGTCATATTTCACCAAGGAATTGATCTTATTATCCGACATAGCATCAGGAGCGGCCACCATTCAATAGGTTATTTACAAACGTTGCCATGGTAACGTTGTCATGGAGACGCTCATATGATCACTCGAGTACACAGCTTTTACATTTCCACAAGCTCATTGATATTATCAAATAACTACACTTCTAGGATTAAATATCTAAAAGTGACCTTTTAAAATAAGTTTTAATTTAATTACGTTTCATAATGGAGGGAGTTTGGTTATAATATGAGTTAAAGTTGATGATGTTACTTGAGACAGATGTTAGCCCTCACAGCAGAAGGTAAATTGAGCAAAAATGGCGGCGCTTGACTTTGACTGGGAAGGTAGAGTTATTTCCTGTTAAAATGTCCAAATGTGGTTAGTTGGAAAGATTTGATATGATGGAAACCGGTTTTCAAGGCAAACCACATAATATACCTCGTATTACAAGGCCACGGGAGTCGTGATTATTGGAGAAATAAGCCATGTGTGCCGGTCGGCATTTGTCAGCTGAGAATGACGGATAAACATCTATTTTTTAGACAGAGCGGTGTGGTGGAGGGCATATATCATTACCAGCCTCCACAGTGGCTTAGGAGAGTGCCTTCCCTGCATTAATGACACTTTCGTCGTTGACCAGACCACACACTAGAAATTGAAGGGACGACGACGTTTCGGTCCGTCCTGGACCATTCTCAAGTCGATTGCTTGAGAACACTTTCGTCATTTGATTGACCCTCTGGGAAGTGTAGACTATTACGAGTAGGGTTCACGACCTCAAGGAAAAAAAAACAGTTGACCGTTTTCGGAATCGCAAATCTAAACAAAAACCTAAATTAGAATTTAACTAAGTTAGGTGAGCGAATGTTAGGTCAGCCTATTCAAACATGACCTAACTATGCCTAATGTTAACCTAACCTATGCTAATATTAACCTAACCTACATTAACCTAACGTATGCTAACATTAACCTAACCTATGCTAACATTAACCTAACCTATGCTAACATTAACCTAACCTATGCTAACATTAACCTAACCTATGCTAACATTAACCTAACCTATGCTAACATTAACCTAACCTATGCTAACATTAACCTAACCTATGCTAACATTAACCTAACGTATGCTACCATTAACCTAACGTATGCTACCATTAACCTAACTTATGCTACCATTAACCTAACTTATGCTACCATTAACCTAACCTATGCTAATGTAACCTAACCTATCTAAATTATCTAAACCTACCTGAATCTAATTTAACAAAAATGAGAGATGTAGTGTGTTGTATATATGGTGTGTTTGAGTGTTTGACATCTTGAGGTTATCTTGAGATGATTTCGGGGCTTTTAGTGTCCCTGCGGCTCGGTCCTCGACCAGGCCTCCACCCCCAGGAAGCAGCCTGTGACAGCTGACTAACACCCAGGTACCTATTTTACTGCTAGGTAACAGGGGCATAGGGTGAAAGAAACTCTGCCCTTTGTTTCTTCCCGGCGCCTGGGATCGAACTCAGGATCACAAGTCCAGCATGTTGTCCGCTTGGCCGACCGGGGAGCCGGTCGGCTCTACATATCTCCATTTCCTGCATAGCTGTGTTAAATGGCACCAAAAATCACCACATCTGTATGTGCAGACGATGAGTCACAATAACGTGGTTGAAGATGCGAAGATGAAACCACACACCAGAAGATGAAAAACAGTGACGTTTCGGTACATCCTGGACTATTATCAAGTCATATGTAATGGGGGAGAGATTGATTGATGAATATTAAGCCACCACAAGAGGTGGCATGGGTATGAGTAGCCCGTATTTGGCAGATGTTTGGAGCGAATGTGGTCTTTGGTGGTGTAACATCTTAAAGTGTGTCTGGGCCTGTCTTTAGCCCCCCTTGGAAGAGGTGATTGATTGATAACGATTAAGCCACCCAAGAGGTGGCTTAATCTTCATCACATACGACTTGATAATGGTCCAGGATGGACCGAAACATTGTATTTATTCATCTTCTGATGTGTAATTTGGTCATCACATCTGTATATATCCCACAAGTACATACAGTATGTTAACATTGTGGATATCCACAAATGAACACTTTGGAAAAATATTTGTGACCCATATTTTTTTACTCTTGTTCTCTCGCACACTTTTTGTAGCCGTCATGTCTCGGGAACACCCCCATTTAACTCTCATACTCAGTTCTGCCCTGTATCTTTCCCAGGTAGGCCAAATTCCCCATTTTTTTTTATAGTATGGCATGTCTATTGAGTGTGTGTGCATATCTGTAAGTTTATATTTGTGTGTATTTGTTGGCATGTCCATATGTTACAAACTCCTTATCTGTAACTGGGTTCTTTTAAATGCTCTAATCCTTCTTAAGTCCAGAGATCCCTAACCTCTGTTGCAATGCAGTGTAATGTTTAAGGCAAGATAAATAAAATGGAGTATAAAAATATTCCTTATTATTAATTACATCTACCACTATATACACACTCCTCTGATGAGATCTTCCATCGCATCATTAGCCCCCCCCCTCCTTCACGCTAGCTCGCTTCCACGGTCAGGAACACTATTTACATCACTCTGATGAGGTCTTCCAGTGCAACACTAGGCCTCACGCTAGCTAGCTTCCATGGTAACGTCTTCAAGCACTCCACTAGCCCTTTCGCTAGCACGCTCACAGAGTAAAGTCTTCCAGTGCTCCTCTAGCCCCCTTGCTAGCATGCTCAAACAGTGAAATCTTTCAGTGCTCCACTAACTCACTCACTAGCATGCTTCAAATGGGGAAGTCTTCCGGTGCTCTACTAGCATCCTTGCTAGTACACTCTGTTGGCGAAATACTAAAGAAATTGTTCACGACTTTGTTAGACCAAAGCTGGAATATGCAGTGGTTGTATGGTGCCTATATCTTAAGAAGCACATCAACAAACTGGAAAAGGTGCAAAGATATGCAACTAAATGACTCCCAGAACTGAAGGACAAGAGCTACAAGGAGAGCTTAGAGGCATCAAATATGCCAAACTAGAATATAGAAGAAAAAGTGGTGATATGATCACTACGTACAAAATAGTAATAGGAATCTATTAAATTGATAGGGAGGACTTCCCGAGACCTAGAACAAGAGGTCATACTGTAGATTTAAACTAACCAAACAAGGCTGCCGAAGAAATATAAGAAAATTCACTTTTGCAAACAGAGTGGTAGACGGTTGGAACAAGTTAAATGAGAAGGTGGAGGAGGCCAAAACCATCAGTACAGTAATTTCAAAGCGTTATATGACAGTGTTGGGAAGACAGGACACCACGAGCGTAGCTCTAATCCTGTATCTACACTTGGGGTAATGACTCCAGCAGAGGCGTCCCTAGGTCGACCTGTGTACTGCTTCACACACACTGCTTCTCTGCCACCAGTAACTCATCACCTTCCTGAATAGCAGACTATAAGATGGGAAACATTATTAATAGGAGGGTTAACTGTTTTAACTCGAAACCTGGATCATAGATGGCACCGAGTCACGCCATATATATCTGTTTACGTATAATTACCTAAGTGTAGTTACAGGAAGAGAGCTACACTCATGGTGTCCCGTCTTCCCAGCACTCTTTGTCATTACGCTTTGAAACTACTAATGGTTTTGGCCTCCACCACCACCACCTCATTTAGCTTGTTCCAACTGTCTACCACTGTTTGGAAAAGAAAATTTTCTAATGTTTTTGCGGCACCCTTGTTTTCTTAGCTTGAGTCTGTGTGTCATGTTATAGAGCACATCTCTTTCGATTTGTTGCACAACTTTTGTAAAAAAAAAAGAAAGAAAAAAGAAAAAACTAATACTATACTGCTACTGTATAGGATAATTTTTAATCCATTGAGAATGGCAACTTGTACCGTCAAAAGATAGGCAACTTTACCCTAAGCCCATTACACAATAGAAAACACAGCTTTGAAGGATGAAATAAGTTACTTTACTGGTCAATGGGAGTGATAAATGCTACAGATGTTAGTACTGTATAGGGATGATTTTCATAACTTGAAAATTTTCCAGTGAAATAATGCATAAACATTTTTTGGTAAGATCTCCATGCAAGACTAAAATAAAGGTGTGAACGAACAAGCTATTTTCAAGTACTGTGTATTTGCAGTTTACTCTACATTAAAATTAACCAGTGACTTCTGGGTCAGGCTTAGTTTATTAAATAGGTACAGTATTGATTTCAAAGTCATATTTTTTCTTAGGATATTTTGGAATCCAAATATTGTATAGCTACAGTATTGTATAGCTACAGTGTATATCTGAATTCCTGAAACGTGAATCTTTGTGAAATCCATGTTCATCATGCCAGAGTAAACGGTGGGAGTAAAAAGGAAAGCGTTGAAAATACTAGAGTAAAGGCAGGAGTGCACAAGTCAACATTGGGAGAAACTGGGTTGTACCAATATGTTAATTTTTGGACATTCCTGCTAAGACATTCAGCTAAACTGAATGTTCAGCTAACTTGAGTAATTTAGGACCCATATCAGTCTCGTATCAGTCCCATATCAGTCCCATATCGAGCAGTCTCCGTGGTGTAGTGGTAAGACACTCGCCTGGCGTTCCGCGAGCGCTATGTCATGGGTTCGTATCCTGGCCGGGGAGGATTTACTGGGCACAATTCCTTAACTGTAGCCTCTGTTTAACGCAACAGTAAAATGTGTACTTGGATGAAAAAACGATTCTTCGCGGCAGGGGATCGTATTCCAGGGACCATAGGATTAAGGACCTGCCCGAAACGTGACGCGTACTAGTGGCTGTACAAGAATGTAACAACTCTTGTATATATATATATATATATATATATATATATATATGATTCAGATTGACGAGCATAGACAGGACAGCACAGTATATAAACAGTGACTTTTTTTTTAGTAATTTTTGAAGTTTAATTTGTTTTGGTAGGGACGCGAGTCTTATTTTCCTCGGCGTCACCCCTTTTATATAAAAGGAACCATTGGAAATGCACCCAAGGTGCCGTGTGTCTTGTCGCCTCCTCGTTGGTGGAGAGAGGCGACCACAGTTTGAGATTTTTATTTTTTTTTAAATAAATGTTGTTATTTACTAAATTCTCTAAAATTAGTGTATTTGTTTCTTTGCGCTTGGGGATGAAAGCATTTGAATTAACATGTTGCATACTAATGCTTCAGAAGTGCGAGACCAGCTACGGACATGGCGAGAAGACAACAGCCGGCACAGCGAAGAGGTCGTAGACATGTGGGATTACTGCCTCAAGCACTACATACATAAACTGGGAGATGAGCGTAAGCTGTCTATTGGAATTTAATGTGAATGAATACAAATTCATGTAAATGTTTAAGATAAATTTGAATTTTTTTTTTCTAAATAGGGAAAGTAACCTTTGTATTAAATTGACTTGAAATATATCTTTATTGTAGGCTAAGGTTTAATTTTTTATAAAATAGAGTAACATTTTGTAATAATAGCATGAAGCCTATTAAGATGTAAAAGTATGTGACCAAGTTTACCAGTTAATGCCATATTTACAGGCAGGCGGAGGTATGTTTTTGGTTCACTACCAACCAAACATATATTGTATTTACCTGCACAAAATCATGCATTTCCCCTACAAAACCACTTAAACGTCACTTTCAACAAATGTATGATGAAATACTGTATACAGTATTAATTTTATTTTCCACAAAATATTGTAAAATAGGTGCATCTTGTATGCCAACAAATACTGTATAAATTTAACAGACTAATGGTCAACAAATGACATGCTGTTAGTTCAAATGAGCATTGTTTTTGTGTACTATATATTTTAAAGTAACACATCTTGCTTTTCTGACTAGAAAATGGCTCGAATGTAACCTTTGAGATGTGTATGATCCTTGAAGGGCCATAGTGACCCCGAGCATATGACACTGTCGACAGGTTGGATGGTGGAGGAGCAAGTTGTCATAGCTGGTTTGGATTGTTACCGCTTGGATGTAGCAGAGCATAGTTTAGTGGCTCTCAATGAACGGTTCCCAGGTTCGTTAAGAGTGCGGAAACTGAAAGCCATGAGGCTAGAAGCTCTAGAAAGGTAAGTCTTGTTTTGTTTAGCCGTTTTCAGTCACTAGAGTATTTTGGTTGAAATTTTTTTTATGTAAGCTTTACTGTATTGTATCGGTAAATAAAATTTATACAGGCTTAGAGCACGGTAACTTTAAAAAGAGTAGTTTTGGTAGAATGTTGACCTTAACTTCAGTGGTGGCTCGAGGAAAAATAGAATGGAGGGACTGTGTCACTGTAAGCTTCACACAACAGTATAATAATAGCAGTTAAAAAGAAAAATAATTCAACGAAAGACAAAAAATACACCTTAAACGTACTGTAGGCCCGTAGGAGTCGTCACTGTCAGGTTGATGGAGGTATGGCTGGCCGAGATGGTTATGTTAATACTAAGCAAAAAGAAAATCAGTGCGTCGGCTCTGTAGCAAAATGGTTTATTACTTGTTTATTAAAATCATTCATTTCTGTTTTAATTATCTTTTCTTTTTTTAATTGATATCACTGGTAGAGCAGACATTCTCTTATTTGCCATGGTACTCTACTGAGAAAATAAGTTTTGATTCTAGTTAAAGTTGAAAAGCACCTTTCTGTTTCTGCCATTGTCATTAGAGGTGTCATTAAAATTTTCAGTAGCTTCAGAGTTTCTAAAAATGTTGACTGTAAACGATTGTCGTTCATAATCACATACAGGTTAATGAGGTTCTGATTTACGTAAATCTTCTCCTGTGTACAGTATAGCAAGTTCGGATTTTAGTTTGCCTTGTTCAAGCATAGAATAGGCTGCAACTGCTTGTACATTACAAGTGCATTATTCACTTAAATTCGCATTATTCACTTGGAAGTAACTTGCTAGCTTCCAAATGATTAGTGAAGCTGAACCTTATTTTGCATTACCACAAAATTACGTCACAAACTTCCTTTGCAGTAACTGATTTATCTGTATTAAATTTTCTTCTCTTTTGCTGAGGTAGTGGTGCAAATGTATCACATTCATCTCTTAATTTCTGAGCTGCAGAAGTGAAGGCTTTTAACCCCTGCACTGCTCACACATTTTCGGCAAAAAAGTCTTGGTGCAATTGTCAAGGACATATTTTTGTTGTTTTCATAAATGCTCAGGTAAAGTTAATGTCAAAATGTTTCCAAAGTCAACTATTTCCCTTTCAGAACACAAAGAGTAATGAAAACATTAAAAAACATAAAAATATAGTCTAATTAAAAAACAAAACTCACAACTCTTAGAGCGCCTAAAGGCGCTTTGCGCAGTGCAGTAGTTAAAGAGGTTATTAGCTTTAGCTGCATCAATATTTCTAGTCTGAAACTATGAAACCATGATGTAAACATGAGGCATTATTTTGGAGAAAAATTCCAACCAAAACTAATTTAGGATCGCTCACGATTCTCTTAATACCAGCTGCTGCAGATCCAGTATGTCTGGATCTTTCTTCCAGATCCAGTATGTCTGGATAAGTTTCTCTCATCTTGAGGGAAACTTATTTCTCCCTTACTTGAACATGTAAATGTTAAACATTCACATTTCTGATACACAGTTAAACTGGTGTGACTATTCTTTGCTCCTGCCTGTACGTCTCTGTAGAGTGGATAAAACTAGCGTAGGTCTTCTTTTTCCTTTTATTTCTGTTTTTTCTATTTAATGTCAGATGCAAAGAATTGATTGCAAATACTTCCCCTAGTTCACTTTCCATTGCCATTATTTGTCAAAGGGTAATTAAACTTATAGCAACTTAAGGTAAACAAAGTTAAGCAACTTAAGCACCACTAGCAACTTGTGACACCACCCTCACTTACTGTAAATACTAAACACTGGGCTGATGGAGTGACTGAGCTAGACCGAATGTCGTTCATTACCAGATGTAGCGCTGATAAATCCTACATTATCGTACAGCATGAAACCTCTATTCTTATTTCATTTTAATTTACATTTTAAAAATTCATTTATAAATATATTGAAAATACAACACATTTTTTTTTTTCTTTTTTTGAGATTTATACAAAAGTTGTTACATTGTTGTAGAGCCACTAGTACGCGTAGCGTTTCGGGCAGGTCCCTGGAATACGATCCCCGCCGCAAAGAATCGTTGTTACAACCAAGTACCCATTTTACTGTTGAGTTAAACAGAGGCTACAGTTAAGGATTTGCGCCCAGTACACTCAAGCAATTACAATTTTGGTGCAAATTTGTGCCCTCCAAGTACATGCCGATGGATCCCTGACTACTTACATTTATTTACCTGTTACAGCTTTATAAATTTTTCTTTGCAGATTTGATGAGGCCATGGATGTGTACGACAGTATTATCCGCCAAGACGAAACCAATTCAACAGCGCGGAAACGAAAAGTTGCAGTGTTGCGGGGCCAAGGGAGGATCCCTGAAGCCATCAAAGAACTTACTGAATATCTTAAAGTGTTAGTTGCTATTTTAAGATTATTCTAGGTTTTCATACTAGATTAAGCTCATAAATTGACTTGAGAATGATCCAGGGACGGACCGAAACGTCGTCGTCCCTTCACTTTCTAGTGTGTGGTTTGGTCAACTTATTTCAGCCACGTTATTGTGACTCCTCATCTGCATAAACTTATAAATCTTATAAATACATTGTTCTTTACAATATATGCATCAACATAACAAATTTAACAAAATTCCACATTTAAGAAGTAAATTTGAATTATTTAAACAAAATTTGCTTGTAAATATAATGTAATTTTTTGTTTTTTCTTTGTTTATACAGTACTTATATAATTTAATTCTATTTATTTAGAAAAAAAGTGTCCAAATTAATTACATTTAATAAAATTAAATAATTTAAAGAGGCCCCAGTATTGTATTCTGGATTACAATCTTGATTGAATTTAAGCATTGCATCTCGATATCTTTATAATTAATTTACACTTCTCATAGTCAATTATTTATTTAGAATTGCCCATCAGATTTCATGAGTTTACACATGAATAACCCTTGCACCTACCAAATTTTAACAAATAAATGTGTTTACCCAAAGTCAAGCTCTTTCATAAATATGAAAAAATGAAGATTCTCAACTTGAGTTTCCACAACTCAAGTTACAGTTGGAACTTGAGTTGTGGAAACTGGAAAGGGATAAATCATTTTCCTCTGATAACCAACTGATGTTTTCATTGTTTTGAACCCACAACAACTGAGATAATTACAATGAATAAATGTAACTTCATTTAATGATAAAATATATTAAAATGATCACATTTTCCTTGACAGTTTTATGTCTGATGGCGAGGCATGGCAAGAGCTGTGTGATCTATACTTAAAGGAAGGCGACTACAGTAAAGCTGCCTTCTGTATGGAGGAATTAATACTGACGAATCCGCACAACCATCTCTTCTATACCAGATATGCAGAAATTAAGTACACACAGGTAAGATAACATCTAGAAGGGCAAAGCCTGATTGTAATATGATGTTTTTTTTGTTACTGAATGACAGTTTGCATTAATATAATTAAATTAAACATTTATCATTCAGCACAATGTTTTTCTTGATACAAAGATACTGTATATATTGTGTAAAATTTGTGGCAGTATTAATATTTAATGAAAATACATGAATGGACGGTGTGGTACATTATTTGTAATTTATCATTCAGTGGTTTGTGTTAAGGCTTGATTGACTTTGTTACAACCAATAAGGCTTGATTGACTTAGGCCACGTTCTAGGTGTAATTCAGACTTAGGGTGAGATCTGGTAATGAAATATAATAATGCAGGTGCCACCACTATTGGGATCTCTTCACCTTTAGCATTCTGTCATATTGACCAGACCACACACTAGAAGTTGAAGGAACGACGACGTTTCGGTCCGTCCTGGACCATTCTCAAGTCGATTGTGGCCTTCTCTTTGGCCTTCAGCCACGTTATTGTGACTCATCGCCTGCATTCTGTCATATTTTGCTAAAAATTTAGCTTTGTTCTTCTGAAGGGGCCCTTCGTTATTGATGCCTAATTTGTTCTGGCCAGTGGTGCATCATACTCTTTCCTGTGGCTGGAGTACAAGTTCGGGAAATTGTAAATTCCGATTTAGTGCACCTGAATAAAGATGCGAGTAGACAGTTAAGTGTAACAGACCAGGGGCCAGATTCACGAAAGCACTTACGCAAGCACTTACGAACGTATACATCTTTCCTCAATCTTTGACGGCTTTAGTTACATTTATTAAACAGTTTACAAGCATGAAAACTTCCCAATCAACTGTTGTTATTGTTATAAACAGCCTCCTGGTGCTTCGGAGCTCATTAACTGTTTAATAATTGTAAACAAAGCTGCCAAAGATTGAGAAAAGATGTACAGGTTCGTAAGTGCTTGCGTAAGTGCTTTCGTGAATCTGGTCCCAGCCCGTCCTCCTAAGGTTTCCCAACGTCAAGAACACAAGTCAGTTTAAACTGTTCTCTCCTAACCTACCAGAGGACCCAAACAGAAAACGGGACAGTATGTCACTTTCCCGAGCCTCTTCCATTTTCTAGTACGACACTTTTTGGCCTTGTATAACGCATACAAACGAAAAGCGACGTTCTTTGTAGGAGGACAGGTTAAACAGACAGCACTGACAGCTTGATAGGTACAGACACCACAACAGACCTCGATAGAGAGAGAGACCAGAAAGACAGATATATGCTAACTCTCTGTAAAGGGCACTTGCAGGCATAGATATTCTGGAGAAGGAAAGGGATTAGAATGCACTTACCCTCATCCCAGAAAATGTCTAAATACAGTATACCTAAAGGGAAAATGTCATTTTAGATCAACATGCAGTTATTTCCATCCAGACATGTGCAAAACCTCACTTGAGGAAGCAAAATGCTATGACCTCAGCTGCCCAGTGTTTCATGTGAAAGACACAAAATACTACACAATAAAGAGTGGCAAACAAGAAAATGGCTATGGAGAAAAGTCAAGTAATTTTTTTAGATCCATAAGAATAAGGTTTTAGTAGGTGGAACAGGGAATGCTTGGTACTGGAACTGGCTGAAAGAACCATTTGCATACCAGAGTCACAGTTACCATTGCGCCCCACAACAGAGCTACAACTATGACAAGCAACAACACTGCAATAACCAGTACTGGTCAGAACAAATCCAATATGTCCACGTATAACGGACCTTGCTGAAAACTCCCCTAGTCAAAATACACTAAATAGAGTAGCCTCATTCACCATTTCCAACATACAGGGACTAAAAGCAAAGGCAAAAACAAAGTACTGTTCATAAAAGTCCTCCCAGAAGCAAATACACAGTATTTGGAGCTTTCACAGAAACCCATGCAGGGGAATTCATGGACAGTGAGATCTGGATATGAGAATATAATGTATATAGATGTGATAGGGTTAATAGGTCACATAGAGAAGTAGGTCTATATATTCTATATATTCGAAAGGACCGTGTATGCTCAAAGCTCCTTAACTACAAACAAAGTGGTAGAATTACTTTGAGTATAAATTGAGAAAATAAACCTAGTTATTATTCTAAAATACAGACCACCAGATGCAATGGTTGAGGAATTCACAGAACAGATAGACAAAATACAGCTTAGACTCGATAATCTGGCAAACCCAATACTTGATATTATCTTCCTTGGAGACTTCAACCTGCCCAGTTTAAGATGGCAAATAGCAATAGAACGAGACATTGAGGGGTTTGATTATCTTGAGATTATCTTGAGATGATTTTGGGGCTTTAGTGTCCCCGTGACCCGGTCCTCGACCAGGCCTCCCCCCCAGGAGGCAGCCCGTGACAGCTGACTAACACCCAGGTACCTATTTTACTGCTAGGTAACAGGGGCATAGGGTGAAAGAAACTCTGCCCATTGTTTCTCGCCGGCGCCTGGGATCGAACCCAGGACCACAGGATCACAAGTTCAGCGTGCTGTCCACTCGGCCGACCGGCTCCGTTGAGCCAGTCGGCCGAGGAATCTGAACCTGCTGTGCCTCTTGTTGAGGAAATTGTTTCTCTGGGCCTAAGATTGGGCTTGGAGTTGGATTGTGCTGATGTGGAGGAGTTAGAACTGACCACCGAAGAACTCCTAGCCCTTCACAAGGAGCACCAACAAGAGACAGCTGAAGAAACTTCATTAGGTGAGGAGGAGGCAGTAGAGGATGTCCCTTCCTCATTAATTAAGAAAATATGTGCAGTATGGGAAGAACTGCAAAGTTTTGCTGTAGCAAATCATTATGTTATCCTTTTTTAATGACAAAGTAGAGTCTCACTACAGACAATTGTTGAAACACAAAGACACAAAAACAAGTGTCTTTAGTCGGATTCTGAGTGGGACAAACAATCAATGAGCCACAAGCAGGTCCTAGTGGTATGCCTATATAACGGAGGAGAGAGAGAGTACAGTACCCCAGAATTATAACATCACTGCCTAATGTTATAATGGTTATCTTGAGATGAGTTATCTTGAGATGATTTCGGGGCTTTTTAGTGTCCCCGCGGCCCGGTCCTTGACCAGGCCTCCACCCCCAGGAAGCAGCCCGTGACAGCTGACTAACTCCCAGGTACCTATTTACTGCTAGGTAACAGGGGCATTCAGGGTGAAGGAAACTTTGCCCATTTGTTTCTGCCTCGTGCGGGAATCGAACCCGCGCCACAGAATTACGAGTCCTGCGCGCTATCCACCAGGCTACGAGGCCCCATGGAAGGAAGGTGAGGGAAGGGGGAAGGAAAATGGAAGGGGGACTCCTCATTCAAACACTAACACCACCACCACCACCTCCCCCCCCCCCCCCTCCCCCCCCTTACGATCTTCCACATGCCAACAAGAGTTCCCAGTAAAGTGCAGTTAAATGTTCATTTATTTTAAATATAGTTTATATTTATTCCTTATTGTTTTATGTATGGAAAAAATGAGTAGTAGTCTGTACAAAATGTATTTTTAAATTCAAATTTTTGGGTGAATGGAACTGATTAGTTAAATTTACATTATTTCTTATGGAAAAATTTGATTTGGTGTGTGAATATTTGAGTTAAGTTGCATTGGAATGGATTAAGTTAAATTCGTTCACCGAGGTTCCACAAAATTATTTATAAAGAAATGAAAAGTGTAAGTAGCACAAGCACTCCATGTAGTGTGGAGGAAAAATCTTTGGTACTGGGGAGATAACAAAAGCACTTAAATCAACAGATATAACTTCCCTACATAGTGGAGAGAACAAGGCATTGATTAAAAATTATAGACCAGTCACACTATTGTCCCATAACAATTTTTGAGTGTGTGATTAGCAGTCAGATCTCTAGTTTTATGTTGACAAATGACCTCCACAACCCAGGTCAACTTGGATTTAGAGTGAGAAGGATCATGCTATTCACTGTTACTAAACTACACGACAAAATTACTGACGCATTAGAAGAAAAGCAGGATACAGATGTGGTATACAGTACGTAGATTTTGCAAAGACATTTGACAAATGTGACCTCCCCTCCCCAAATGTGACCTAGCAGCCTAAGCGCGCAGGATTCGTAGTGGCGCGGGTTCGATTCCCGCACGAGGCAGAAACAAATGGGCAAAGTTTCTTTCACCCTGAATGCCCCTGTTACCTAGCAGTAAATAGGTACCTGGGAGTTAGTCACGGGCTGCTTCCTGGGGGTGGAGGCCTGGTCGAGGACTGGGCCGCGGGGACACTAAAAAGCCCCGAAATCATCTCAAGATAACCTCAAGATAGATAACCTCCCCTGTTACCTAGCAGTAAAATAGGTACTTGGGTGTTAGCTGTCACGGGCTGCTTCCTGGGGGTGGAGGCCTGGTCGAGGACCGGGCCGCGGGGACACTAAAAAGCCCCGAAATCATCTCAAGATAACCTCAAGATGGAGTGATAGCCCATAAAATAGGATCAATAGAAATAGCAGGTAAAGTAGGGGTGATGGATATTCAAATTTATGTCAAACAGAATGCAAAGAGCAACAGTCAATTAAATAAAAGAGATCAAGCACAGTGAAAAGATCTGGGGGCACAGTCCTTGCACCGCTGATTTTCCTTATTCTCATATCAGTCATAGACAGGCATACAAATTACAGCTTTGTGTCATATTTTGCAGATGACAAAAATCAACATGAAAATTACTTTTGTAAAGACATTTAAAAATATGCTGATTATTAATAAAGTTTTTGATTGGGAAGCAGAAAATAACATGATGTGTAACAGTGATAAATTGCAGGTACTTGGGTATGGTTTAGACAAACGAAGTCCAACCACTTGGGCTGGACGGTAGAGCGACGGTCTCGCTTCATGCAGGTCGGGATCAATCCCCGACCGTCCAAGTGGTTGGGCACCATTCCTTCCCCCAGTCCCATCCCAAATCCTTATCCTGACCCCTTCCCAGTGCTATAAAGTCGTAATGGCTTGGTGCTTTCCCCCTGATAATTAATTAGACAAACAAAATACAGGGTAAAACAAAACAATCAAATCTGCCCATAGTAGGAAAGCATCATGTAAAAGATCTGGGAATAATGATGTCTGATGACCTAATGTTCAGGGAGCATAACCAAGCAAGTATTGCATCAGCCAGAAAAATAATAGGATGGATTACAAGAACCTTCAAATTCAGGGATCCCATGATAATGCCCATACTAGTCAAATCACTTGTGCTGTCCTGCCTTAAATACAGTTTGATACTTTTCCTTCAGAACATATGCGATTGCTGAAATGGAGGGAATATAGGATATACAGCATGCATAGACATGATAAAGCACTTAAATTATTAGGACAATCTCAAAGCTCTAAATGTACTTGCGAAAGGAAACGAGAAGCATATGAAATAACATATATTGTACATGGAGAATACTGAAGGGCCAGGTCCCAAATTTGTACAGTAAAATAATGTACTGGAGCAAATGATATGAGAAAAAAAAAAATGCAGGAGGAGGCCAGTGAAGAGTAAAGGTACCTTGCCTTAGGCACAATCAGAGAACAATCAGTATGAACATTCAGAGGTCTACAGCTGTTAAATATCCTTCTGGTAAGTACAGTACAAGAAATATTGCCATAACAAAAGTGGAATTCTGCAAGTGCCGGACCAACCGAGCTATAGTGGATGCGTGGACCTGTGGGTCACTCCAAGCAACAACCTTTAAATGAACAAATCCACAAGGGCCGTATCCCAAACGCTGCCTTAATCGACTGAGCATTGTCATTTGATACATCACGTTATTGTGATTTCTGTGTGTAGCAACCTTTAAGACCAAGGTCTCAAGTCAAGCCTGGTCCCAGGCTGGGCTTACAGAGTAGAACTTCTCCCAGAACTCAATCCAGGTATACTCTGATTATCCACTATACCGGGGTTACTTTGGAAGTTGAGCACATCTTTTCCTAATTGATGATCTAACCAAACAAGCAGTTACAGTATTACTGTACCTGTCATTAGACACTGAAATAGCACTCTAGAAGGGCTTTATTTTGGATACAAGTCTCATTGTACACAAGACAATTTGCCATTTGGATTTTAAAACTTTGCCCAGCCCAAAGGCTTGAGCCGGTCGGCTGAGCGGACAGCACGCTGGACTTGTGATCCTGGGTTCGATCCCAGGCACCGGCGAGAAACAATGGGCAGAGTTTCTTTCATCCTATGCCCCTGTTACCTAGCAGTAAAATAGGTACCTGGGTGTCAGTCAGCTGTCACGGGCTGCTTCCTGGGGGTGGAGGCCTGGTCGAGGACCGGGCCGCGGGGACACTAAAAGCCCCGAAATCATCGAGATAACCTCAAGAAGAAGCTAATAAATCCTAACCTAACAATGTATTAAGTGCTTAACAAACAGGAAATAAGCTTTGTTGATTCTTTTTGAGACCTGATTTTACCATACCCTTTCATTTTAGAATGGCCAACTCCATTTAAGCCATTACTCCATAATGCTCATCTACCCCTGCCTGCCATAGGTTTAAGAACCACATCTCGCATTTGGAATTAATTATTACTTTCAAATTAGAGGTGTAATTTTTGTTTTGTTTTGTAATTATTGGTTTCTGTATAATATACACCTGTAATTACCAATTAATGTTTTATCTATTCTCATTTTTTTGCATGAAAGGCAAGGGAGCCGAGAGTAGGTGGTCAAAGTACAGTAATTGTTGGTTGTAGGAACATAGATGCTTGAAATGATAAGATTGTATTGAAGAGTAATATAGTATTACAGTAGCAGAGGTCCTGAAGAATTATAAGGCAATTGTGTATTAACATGGCTGGGTTGACAGTACAGTAGCATAGTACCGAACATGCCTTGGTACCTGGTTAATGAATGATATATGGACAAAAAGATACTCATACCTGTATAAATTAAAATGTGCTATTGTACTCGTTTGATCACCATTTCCCTTTGGTTTGTACTTTAATAGAGCAGTGCCCTGTATATAATGTATTTGTAATCCTTAGATTAGGTAGAGGCTCAAGTTTACATTTATCTCTTTATGATAATATTACATTAAGACTCCTTAAGGTGTCAGTGTGAAGTTTGCTGTTCAGTCTTTGTGCCAAATCACTGTTCTCTACGGGACACTCCACAAGCAACCAGTGCACTGATAACTTTTCAGAGCTTTGTCCTATAACTATAAACTGTGTATCTTGTATATGTCTACTTCAATTTACAAATTGCATCCTACCATTATTCTAATTAGCTATAAACAACCTTTGCATCACTTTCATAGCACTGAATGCACTTGTTTTTTTGCTGCAAGATTGCCAACAATATTTCAAAGTGACTATGTGATCCATTTTTAGTAGAATTTGGCTTTCATTGATTGACCCTTTACACAATGTCCCATGCTAAGATACAGGTTTATATTATGTTTTTTTCTTTGTTAAGTGAGTGGCCAACAATACTTAAGTACAATATTTAAAAATACCTTTGTGTTTCAGGGAGGCCTCGATAATATGGAGATAGCTCGGAGCTACTTCGGTCAGGCAGCCAAATTGAACCCCAGTAATGTGCGTGCCCTTTATGGTCTCTTCCTGGTAAGTTTTTAATTTGTGTTAGGTATTCTCTAAATAAAATGGCATTTGATGATAATTTTTGGTTAAGGAAAACATATGCAATAATGTAATAAGCATAGAACTGTGTGTGTGCATTTTGCTGCTGTTTTAGCTTTCCAAGCTTGCTGCCTTTTTTTTTTTATAATTACTCACAGCTGTTTTGAGAAGGCATTAATTGACTGATATATTTGTGACCCACAGAGTTGTACTCAAGTCTCGTCGTCACCAAAGTGTAGCGCTCAGAAGAAAAAGGAGACTCAGCAGCTAGCAACATGGGCACTTAAGGAAATTGCAGACAGGTGAGCCATTTGTTGCATTTTAGGCATATAGTTGAAGTTTAAAAGGGAGTTGGCCAAGCAAATTTTTAGTACATGTTAAGAGCTTCCCCAGTTTCCAGATAATCTTTCTGATTTAGCAGGCAGTAAAGCAACATGAACACTGTACCTTCCTGGGATACTGGTGTGCTTGGTTTACTACTAGCCAGAATTACTGTCTGGGGGTGGAAGGAAATCAGGCAGAACAGGAATGTAGTTAGTGAGGGAATGGGTGTGGAATTGTGTGTGGATTTAATATAAATTAAATAAATTTAGAGTGGAGAGAACAGTAGAAAGTAAATTTTATTAATGGTGAGAGAGATGTTAAGTGTGAACGAGTTGCATTTTAACGAGAGCCAGCTTGGTGCTTCCTAATTCGTAGTTGGCTCAAGCAAACCTACTAGGACCGAGGTCCATGGGTTAAGGTGCATATCTGGGATGACCCAGGAATCTAACTCGATCCTACCATCCCATTCCAAAGATTTTCTTAATATTATGTTTGAGAGAATGGAATGGTATGTTGGATGTTGTTGATATTGTAGATCCTTATAGAGTGGCAAGACATCGTATTTGAACTGTAGGCTAAAAGTGTGGTCAGATATATTGGGAGGTAGAATATTTTAAATACTTGGAAGTAGTGTTGGATAAAAATGGGAGCATGAAATTTGAAACTAGGGAGAGAATAATGAGTGGAAGAGTAGGATGAGAGGTGAATAGTTCAGGGTGCTCACAAATTTTTCCACTTCTTTATAAGCCTTAATACATTCATTATTATATCTTTTGGTTACCTTTTTAAGGTTCTGAGGATCAATGTCCCCATGGCCTGGTTGGTGGTCTGGTCAACCAGGCTGTTTGACGTGGCTGCTCGCAGCCCGATGTATGAGTCGGCCTGGTTGATCAGGTATCCTTTGGAGTTGTTTGTCAAATTCTCTTTTGAACACAGAGGTCAGCCAGTTATTCCCCTTAAATGTTCAATAGCGGGAGTGTGTTGAAAAGTCTTGGGCCTTTAACCCTTAGACCGCGCATATTACCGCACATATTGGGGGCCCTGGTAGCGAAAAATATTCAAATTGTGTAAAAATAACTTAAAAATGTTAAACAAATCTCCAACTTTTTGGCTTCAGTGTCGAGAAACTTTCATCAAAATATTTTCAGAAATTGATTTTAGAATTTTTTAAAAATAAGAACGTTTTGTTGATAAGGAGAACAGCTCCTAATAACTGGAACTGAAGGATTGTGCAGTAATAGAGATGCAAGCACCTGTTCCAAAAGTCCACAAAGTGGATATGCAATTGGCGCCTTTATATCATTGCCGAGTAATACATAATAACACAAATAATAATGAATAACTATGTTATTATGATTTACTTTGTTATATATCAAATACATTGTCCAATGTAAATACATGTTTCTTTCATCAATGTCCCCAAAATATTTTTTTAAATGGATTTGTTTTTATTGGATTTTTTTTTTAAGATGTGTTTTTCTCCTTTGTTTATTATATGATTTTGTTGTAATCTTTACATCTTGGAGAATGCATATGTTTCCATAACTATGTGAAGATTTAGGGAGCCGGTCGGCCGAGCGGACAGCACGCGGGGCTTGTGATCCTGTGGTCCTGGGTTCGATCCCAGGCGCCGGCGAGAAACAATGGGCAGAGTTTCTTTCACCCTATGCCCCTGTTACCTAGCAGTAAATAGGTACCTGGGTGTTAGTCAGCTGTCACGGGCTGCTTCCTGGGGGTGGAGGCCTGGTCGAGGACCGGGCAGCGGGGACACTAAAAAGCCCCGAAATCATCTCAAGATAACCTCAAGAAGATGGAATGAAAACGGTCAACAAATAAATCGGCCACAACTCGCAAAACTTGGGACTTTTAATTTTTTTTGGCCGATTTGTTTCTGATTTCAAACTATTTTCTTTGTCTCTTTAGGTTGTTTTGATGATTAGGGACCATATTAGGGCTTTTTCACCTATATAAAGTAGACCCTAAATATATTCCCTAAATCTATTCTCCCTATTTAAATCTAAATATAAATCTAAAAATCTAAATATATAAATCTAAATTCCCTATTTACCCCTATAGTTTGTGTTTTTTGGGGGTTATTTTTTCTTGACTTCATTTCAACACATTCGTCAACAACTTTCACATATTCGAGTTCGAATGCCAAACAATGTTTATTAAAACATACTATTAAATTAACAAAATAAAACTATCTTTATTCATAATTGATAACTTCAACTTCAGTTATCTCTGAAACTCGAGTTTCAACTTTGAGTGGCTTCTAAAATTCCAGTTTTTGACCAATTCTCATTATTTTGGCAGTGTGCTCAGCTGTCTGTTCTACAATCCCTTCAGAATGGATTTTTTATAAACTTTATACATTTAGAGTTATAATTTTTTTGGTGTAAATTTGTGGCATATTTCAAAAGCCCTATTGACGATTTTTTTAACAGTAAACTATACTGAAAACCTATACTGTATTCTAATATGATGAAGATATATGCTATACTGAGAGAATAATATTAACCAACGTGCTGCACCGAGTTTATTGTGAAATTCCCCCTGTGCGCATGAAATAGCGTTCCCAAAAAATTCTTTTTTCTTCGTAAAAAGATAAATTCCCTTCCCTGAACATGTCTATGTAAAAATAAATACCAAATTCCACTTACTTTGGCTGTGGGGACATGAACAAGGTGCGCTGTGACGTCATCAGGGCCTGGTCGCCTGTGCATGAATCTCCCAGACACGGTCGCGCGGGCCATTCAAGCACTGGGTGTTGCCACAAATATAATTTCAGTTATTTGTTCTATGTATTTCCAATGCGGTTTTATTTGCTTTTTTATCGTATATGATGCATATTTGTGTCCTTTACAATATGTATACAGTAGAACGTTCATAATGTTCTGTGGAACTGTGATACATGTGTCAGTAATATGTATTGTGTCCACAATACATGTTTATTGTCGCAATATTACTTGTTAAATATTCACTAAAGTTACAATATGTTCAGTTTCACACACTATTTACACAGTAACACACTGTATTACACACGAAGTAGTCATTGGTGCACAGCGCGACTTCGCTCTCGTTGCAACGGGTACTGAAAATTTTTCGCTTCCCGTTTCTTCATTCTGTGTGCTTGCAAATAACGCACTCACATACACCCTTGGCTTTAGTACTTGTTGATTGTATGTAGCCAAGCATGTAAAGCATAAGGTAATATTGGAAATATTATAGGAAAAGATCAGTTTGTAAGGTAGTCTTGAAAAGATGAAAAGATCGCTTTGTATGGTCCCACACAGGAAGAGATTCAGCTTGCCTCAAAGAGTGTCCGTCAGTCAGAAAGAGATTCAGGTATTCTTGAAAATACAGTATCCATGGAAAACACCACCATAGAAGCCACTAACACCATTCATCTATGCTACTTTATCAGATGCATTATCACTGAATGAAGAAAACAGCTCGTCTAAATAAATTGGAGATAGCATAGGATTGCAAGAGTGACGCTCGCTGTATCGTCCTCATAGGTGCTGTATCACTTGCATCTGACCTTTGTGTTAGGTCCTTATTGCGCCTAGCTTCACTAATATTATGACCCTTATGTTCTTCAAAGAATAAGGTTTGAACTTCACCGACAGAGCGTTATCTTTCAACACCACGTCGGACATGTGTTTGGGAGCTAGAGGCGCGTGCGCCACCCATGGTTTCTCACTCAGAACTAACCCAGCCAGCAGCCCTAGGGTATTCTGGGAATTTTTTCCAAGATGGCTGCCTCTCACTGGAGGTCCTAAGAGTCCATTTCGTACACAACTTCGCACACACATTTAAAATGGGTACGGAAAAATCAAAAAGAGTTTTCTTGGGTGGCGCAGTTTCCTGCCGACCAAGAATACTTGGTTGGCGCAGTTAAGTGGTTAAGAGATAAACATTTAAGATTTTATGAACTATTTTTAAAGATTTTGCATTGCAGTGCTGTTAATATTGTTTGAAAAAAAATGGTATAGTAGAATCTGGGCTGATTAAGGTTTTCTTTTATTCCTTGCAGGTACTCAAAGTGCAGAACTAATGCTATGGATGGGTCAAAAATACTGGAGACATTTGGCGCTTTGAGTCTAACAGATAAAGCATGATAGTTATACTAAGTCAAAATAATTTATTTCTTGTTCTTTTATATTGTAATAAAATGTGAGATGAAATATAATGTGTATTACCTAGAAAAATATTGTCCCATTTTATACTCCTTTTTTTCGCAAAATGGAAAACTACTATTTTCTGTGTTTGAGAGATGTTGTGTGTAACAGTTGCAACAAATGCATTCCTTTGTATAACAGAACTATGTATTCTTATAGGTTTAGGGTTAGAGGAAAATATATATAAAATGTGTGAGGAAGATGTACATTTGGACAAAACTACCTGAATACTGCTGAGCATACCAGGGTTTTGTATTTTGCATTAAGCTGATTTGGCTGAGAGACGTGTATGATGTAATGTTTGGTAATGATTTGGCGTTTGATGTAGTAGCAATATAACGGCGTTAACAGTAGCAGGTCAATATTGTTAAAGAATAAGCATAAAATTTTGTTATTATCAATTCCAAATTTGTAGCTCTCTTAAGGTGGCTGGTGGCAGCGTCTTTGTGGCCAGGTTAAAGAGAGGAACTTGCGAGTCTTGTCACCCACGGTCCTGCCAATGTCTCGTATCATTAATCACATGTATCGTCATTATTCAGCTCGTCTCTTGAGTTGCCAAAACGGATAAAATATAGGGTACTGAAATGTACAATGTTAAGATGCCCACCTAACTTAGCCAGTGCATAGAAAACACGAATGTTTGCGAGCAAATAAATTACCCCATATTTTGTCTGTTGGGGATCATAGCGTATAATCTCCAGTGTATCATTTGAGAGGACATGTTGTATTATTATAGTTTGTGTTGTATATGAAATTGTATACTGATCAAAGCTTGATTAATTGTATATTTAAATTTTCGTGGGTGCATAATGTGAATTGACATTGCAATACGGTATATAATAAACATTTACATCTGATGTTTGGCCATGCTGGCTGTTAATTACTGGTTGCATTTATATCCTACTACATCAGTGAATTTTGTGATACAAGATGTACTGTAGACATATTTAATTTTATAAATATCCAATCATTAATGAATTGCAGCATCGCACACAACAACAAAAATGGTATGCATTGCAAGATCACCCAAAACACATTTTACACTTACAGAACAGTTTTTAATTAACAGTCAGAGGTGACAGTAAATTTGCCCTTGCATTATGGTGGCAGACCCTAGAAAAGCACTTGACAAGTACTTATCTGTACAGTGTACCATTCATAATCCAGAACTCCATATAATGGATCCTTCTGTCCAATGGATCTTCCCTCAAAAATATATTTCTCGAGCAAAAATACTACACAGCTTAAAACCGGATTTTCAGTTGGTCGTGTAAAATTCCATGAATCGTGTGTGTTCCACCCCCCCCCCCCACCCCCTTTTTTTTCTAATCTTGCTCCTAATTGTAAATATTATTCAAAATACTGGACTTGTATAATCTATAGTACAGTACAAGCTTGGCAAAACATTTCTAAAGCAAGTGCTTGACATTTCTGTGTCATCCAGAGCTACTGTGAGGGTGTGTGCTTTCTTCACACGCCCACAGAAATCACACTAACGTTATACAGTATATCAATGAGTGTGTCAATTGGAGCAATGAAGTGACTCGAACCAGGGATTGGGGTACTCCCAGCCGTGCACCTTACTCCTGTACCACGACATAGTATAAGATATACAACCTGGGATTCCACTAAATCCACAGGAAGTGTGGAGGCTTCTCCTTAAGCCAGTCCAAGTTTTATGTATATATATAACCAATATGCACTCTGGTGCAGGTAAAGTAGTTGATCAACTATGCACATCAGAATCGAGTCATCTCGTTGCTCCAATTGATTTTCTTCACGAGCCTTTTTCTCTGGCAAGAAAAATCTGGAAAAAGTGCCCAGAAAACAATAATTTTTTTTTTGGGGGGGGGGGGGGGTCCAGATTTCACGCATGCAGATTGGATAGAGAATGATATTTGGATTTTGGAAGGTCTACTATTATACTGCAGCCCGAGACACTTTAACAAACTAATGTCATTAGTGATGTGTCAATGTTTGTGAATTTAGTAGCAGGAAATATTCAAAAATGCTAACGGCTTTTTTGTTTATAGAGGTGGTGACATTATTATTATTATGGATTAATAAGACCTTAGCCATTGTGTTTTAAACTGTCTATGAACAGAAGTGTCTTATTAAGTTACTTCACCTCACTGCTATCTCATCCGTATACAGAACCTTTAATGACTGTGTTAGATATATTGTGTTCATGTATCTTTACATTTCTCATTGCCGTGTTATGCCCAAAAGCTTCCCCTGGAAACACAAACCGAAACTGTCTATTTTCCGCTTGTTACAACTTGTAATAAAGTTGTTACATCTTGGCTTAACGTGTTTATGACGTATTGGAACGTTGTTACAACTTGATATATTGGTTGTTATAACTGATTAGGAAGTGTTAAAACTTGTTCGAACGTGGTACCCAACGTCGTAGTTTCGGTGTGTGTTTGGCGGGTCCCCCCCCCATGGGTGATTGTCATGACATACAAGCATCCCTGTCAATCTTACTCTTCAGGTTAATTGTATTTCTCCATATCCCCCCCCCCCCACTATATACCCAAGTACTGTATAGTAATTCAATTACCCCCCCCCCCCACCCCCACCCACCCACCCATCCTACTTTCTCTCGTTTCACATCCTCACACCTATATAAAGTCTTTACACAGGTATGTAAGTCACACATTCAAGCCTACCAAGAACCATGTTCTAATAGATGTGAACACAATAGTGATGCTGTACTCTAATCTCAAAGTCATAGCATTAATTTTGTTTTCATGAAATATATATACATATATATTTATTACATACAAGTCATATATATATCTAGAACAGCTTCCTTTGTTTACATTTTGCTCTGAAACATCTTCCAGGCTTCGGGCAGCCGGGGCGCATCCTTTCCCATGATCGTCGTCGCCCCTAAATCAACACAACAACATCTTCCAGGCTTCCATAGTTACGAAGCATTTCTTGTACAGATTTTGTATAGCAATGTAAGTTTTGGCAGATTTATTATTGGTAGTTGTATTCATGTAGTATTCTTGTATGGTTATAACTTGCCAGGAAGATCTGTATATAAATTTTATGGTAATTGTAACCAGACAGCTAGATTTATTCATCTGTTTTTAGCAAGTAAAACACCAATTGTAAAAGAAAGTCTGAATGATAGTGCAAAACACTATTTTTGTCATGAGAATGTATATTTGAATATATATTATGTATATGGCAGCACCAAAGTAAGCTTACAGAGCCATTTGTACAACCAGTCGTCTTAAAAATAACGTCACTTTTGGCTTGTATGCGCGCTATGGCCAAATTTGGACGTAATTTGAAATGAAAAGAGACTCACAAAAGTGAAGTACTGTTCTGTTTCCGTTTGAGTCGTCCGGCTTACACGGACAGGTTAGGAGAGGATACGTTCAACTAAGGTTTTTCATAACGTTTTGAAACTTTATGAGAATTTCCTGTCAACCTAACCTATCAGAGGACCCCTAACTTACCGTTGTTGAAAAATAAATCCCAAATTTATTTTCATTTTTTTTTAATTTTCAAATTACGTCCACTTTCAGCCATACGGGCAAACGGCCAAAAGTGACGTTCTTTTTAAGAGGACAGGTTGATTTGTAATGATCTGTGGACCTTGGCCAAATATTTTTTGTTCACAAATCTGAAGGCTTAAAAGACAAGCTGGTTTTATGTGGACCAGCCAATTGTTTTTTTTAAATAACTCGAGTAGTTCAGTTGTTTGTAAATGAATATTCAATTGACAAAGTTTTAATTTCATGTGAGGCCTACTTTCATGTTTGAATTTTATATTAAATATATAAATATTTCACTTGTTTGTGTTCCTGTAAAGCGAGTGTTCTAGAGATTTCCATGTTTCAGATTGATTATTACATTGAGGAAAGTCATTCATAATGTCAGTACATTATAATATAATGGCTGTCTTAGGACTGACAAACTGCAATTCAATTTCTTTCTTTATTATGCACCCCATACCCATCCCATGGGCGGTGGTGTAAAGGATTACAGAGGCACATAATCGGTTCAGGAACTGAACCCTCTAGTTCGTTTAGCTAAGCAAATAATGTTTGACGGATGATATACTGATCCACACCAATGGGTATACCAACACCCAAAATGTTCTGAACTCTGTATTGTACACATGTCAGAAACTAGGCTCGGTAATCTCAGTAGAGAAAACAAAGATCCTGAACCGACGTCCACCCAGACGGGGTGGGGCCGTTCGCAAAATGCAGTTGCATGATGGCTCTCTGCTCGACTTTGTAACAAGATACAAACACCTTGGTCTTTAAGTTCCACTGTACCGCAATGTTATAGCCAGACTGGGTCGCCAATGTAGAGAGGCTCCGTGCTCTCCAGGCTGGGGCAGGCTACCATCCAAGCTATGGTGCAAATGTGAGAATTGTCAAAATGATGTATCTCTCATATATTAGGTCTCTGATTGATTATGCTGCACCCATGCTTGCTCTAGTGCCTGACAAACTGCAGTTTGATAAATATAGATAAATTTAATTGCAAGTCGAGGTGAAACTATGGTTTATATTTCTTTATTTTTTTCCGTCAAACACTGCCATGTTCCATGATCTGTTTGGCACCACTACATGGCCCAAGTATTTTGATATATGTGAGGATGACATACACGTCCTGATGAGTTACCCATAGGTCTCTACAGAGTCAACATGATGCTTATGTTATTTAACGCCACCCAGACTGGCATATGTGTTGTTAGTTAGTTTAGTTCATTTATTATGCACCCCATACCCATCTTGTGGGCGGTAGTGGAAAGGGTTACAGAGGCACATAATGGGCTCAGGGACTGAACCCCACAATTCATTTAGCTAAGCAAGTTACAATCTTGATGAGCTAGTTACAAAATTCAGTATAAGTCGTCACATCAACAATGGGTTCGAGATCGACCTCAAGTACAGGTTCTAAATTAAGCAACTGACATATGTGGAGAGCTAGTGTCAAAATTTATATGTTTGTCCTGCACACCGCCCCCCATCCAGTGGGCAGCGGTGGATAGGTTACAATCACTTAGTTACTACCTACAGTTAGCAAACTGGGGATATTTGGCTAAAATTTCTGGTAGCAGATCATTTTGAATGAAATATTTACACATCGCTGGAACATTGGTTATAGAATTGTCTCTAAATTCACGTATCTTTTCGCACTCCATCACATAGTGACGGAGGGTGTGCGAATAATTTTGTTGACACAGTTTACATTTGGTCAGGTCTACATCAGCAGATAATGAGAATTCCCAGAGATACTTGTAACCGAGTCTAAGCCGAGCAGTAGTAACATCTAGAAGTCTGCTGATTTTATTGGATGATCCATAGATGTGTGGCTCCTCTTGCATGATAGTATGATGATAGATGGAATTACTGGTGTCAATTTCACTTTGCCTCAGATCTACAAGATCTTGTTGAAGTTCTCGGTGTACTGCTGCTCTCAGATTGCTCATTGACAATCCAAGGTTACACTCAACGGCTCCTTTAAAGGCAGATTCTTTGGCTAACTTATCAGCTCTATCATGCATTCGGAGGCCAACATGAGATGGAGACCACATGAAATGGACTCTGTTACCATCCTTAATAATTTTGTTGTATTTGTGTCTAGCTTCGGACACGAGCATGTTACAGTTATGTCTTAAAGAGTTGAGAGCATTTAAGGATGATAAGGAGTCACTTACAATTAATGTATCAAGTTTTGAGACTTGTACACATTTCAGTGCAAGGATCAAGGCAAATAGTTCAGTCTGAAGGGTAGAGGCCCAGTTGTTTATACGGACTCCCCACTCAAAGTATAGGCCATCGCCCATTGTCAGGACAACTGCACTTCCAGCTGCACCCGTGGTGCGGTGTAGGGAACCATCAGTGTATATAATTTGAGAGAGAGAATGCTCTGTGGACAGAGCATCAATATGGCTTAAGGCGTTGAGCTTTGCCTCAAGACGAAGCTTGGGCTGATCTCTAATTTGCTTCTTGGGTGGAAAGGGAGGGATTGAAACTGGAAAGGGTGTAACCTCCCACGGTGCAGGAAAGTGCCGCTGTTGTTTCTCTTGGTACAAATCATGAACCTGATACATTCTGAGTTGAGTTCCAGTTTTTGTTATCCATTTGGAACAATGCTGATCTTCAATAAAGAAATTCTGGAGGGCTTCTGTGCAAGGATTAGGATGAGTTAGCCTAAGCATTTTTATACCAATTTGACAGTTAATTTCAGTAACACGATCAACAACGCTCAGAATATTAAGTTCCTTTCTCATATTAAGTATCTTTGTGGTACGAGGGCACCCAAGGATTATCCTCAAGGCTTCGTTCTGCAATTTTTCAAGCCCTCCAAGCTTTCTTTCAGGCATCAAAGCAAGCAGAGGTGCAGCATAATCTACTAAAGATCTGATGTATGCAAAGTACATCATTTTGACAATTCTGACATTGGCACCATAGCTTGAGTGATAACCTGCAACAGCCTTGAGAGCTCGGAGCCTCTCTTTAAACTGACGACAGAGTCTGAATACAACAGGACCGTACAGTGGCACCTCAAGGCCAAGGTATTTGAATCTGTTTACATAGTCAAGCTGGGAGCCATCAGACAGTTGCATCTTGCGAACAGCTCCTCCCTGCCTGGGTGGGCGCCGATTTAATATCTTTGTTTTCTCTGCTGAGATAATTAAACCTAGGTCCTGACATGAGTCTAATACAGAGTTAAGAGTGTTCTGCGTGTTAGCATACCCAGCGGTGTGTATCATTATATCATCAGCATAGCTAATGATGTGGACGTTGGGTTTGCTCGGTACAGAGTTTAACAGCGTGTTTATTAAGATATTGAATAAGGTAGGACTGAGGACACCACCCTGCGGGGTGCCTAGTTCAAAGTCTCTTGTTACACTTCTATGCCCCTGGAAAAATACAGATGACTTCCTATTGGATAAGTAACCCCTGATCCAACAAAGAAGCCGACCACCAATATTCATTCTTGCAAGCTCACTCAAGATAACATGTCTATTTGCAATATCAAAGGCAGACTTAAGATCTAGGAAGGTGGTATATGACTTTTCAGTGTGCAGGGTAAGAAAGGTGGTGATGCAATGATGCACACTCCTTCCATGCATGAAGCCATATATCTGGGGGGATAGCATGGTTCTTATTCGATGGAGGAGACGGTTTAGGACCATTCTCTCGAATGTTTTGCAAATGCAGCTAGTAAGGGAAATTGGGCGGAAAGCATTCTCTTGATTTGGCTTGGGAATTGGAATGATTATACTGTTGGTCCAAGAGTTAGGAAGTTCCCCAGTAACATAGCTCATATTATACAGCTCAAGTAGGGGATTCCCTGGTACTAAAGGGAGCAGACGCAATATGTCATAAGTGATACATGTTGCAAATTTAGTAATGGTTCCTTGATGTGTAGTAAGTAGCAAGATGTCCCTTCTCCTCCCCCCCCCCCCAACCCCCTCTTCCTTCTGTGTGGTAACCCTGGCTGTACTAAGGCAAATTGCTGCTGTCGTCATTGTTTTAGATTCAGCTACTCTGAATAAAAACTTGCAAGTAGCACAGGCTATGGTGAGCCCGTAGCAGGAAACATGGGCAAATTGCTCTTCTCCACAAGCTAGTTGCATCAACTGTGGTGAGGCCCACCCTGCCGTCTCTTAATACATGGATGCATTATAAATCTGAACCAGCCATCCTCAACTTAAAGCATCACAATCTTATATCTTTTCCTGAGGCAAGATGCCAGGTCTGTCATCTAGACACATTGACATGAGTTATGTTCATGCATTACATCTTGCTACTCTTCCCTAGCCTTTTTCCTTCCTCAGTTCCACAACCATTTCCATGCCTTAAACCCCAACACCACCACCAACTTCCCATCTTTTGCTCTATGATTTGAGGCCGAGGGTGTTCCTCAAGGATCACCGACTAGCATTTTCACTGTTCTTTCCCAGACTACTTTTACCAGCTGTATTTGCACAGCTTCTCTAACTCCCTCTTCTATATCTACTGTGACCACCATCTTACGAACCCCATCTGCTCAACCTTCGTCAACAAATATCCATCCAGGCCAATATCCATCCTCCTCCCATCATCTTTAAATGTGCACTTTCAATATCTCCCTCCCCTCCCGAGACTCCGGAGGCTGTCACACAATAGATTACTACTGGCATGCCTATGTGTCTGTCAGAAATGTAAACGTAGTTCCGCCTCGTCCCCGGGCGTGGCTCAGTCTCTCTTTGTGACTATTGCACCTTGTAACCTCTGTGGGTTCTCAACGCCGTCCCCGCCCCGGCCACACTCGCACGATCCCTTCCCATACTAATACCTACCAATCCTTGTCTGGTCCTGCTTCGTGTGCTAAATACTTTGATCTCCCTCTGGATTCTACACCTGGCGATTTCTCACTCTATAAACACCATCTAGAGGGTAAGAAGGCTTCAAGCCTTCCCCAATTTCATTTTCTGTCTTTGATCCTGCATCTCCTCCCATTTAACCTCACTATGGATGTTCCCGTAAACCTTAATTCTGTATCTAGGTGTTGTCCCTGATACAGTGCACACTGCTGCTTCCAAAAGTATAAGGATGATAATGCCACTGGAGATTTGTTATATCAACTTCTCGTGGGTTATCAGTTATTTATTATCTTACCTTCTGGTATTCTTTCACCAGCACGGCAACACCACCTTTCCTAATTTTTCTGTCATGTCGCTGGTTGCTGCGACTGTCCTTCCTCAGCCCCACTCCCTCAACCACCCATCTCTGGCACCTTCCACACCGGATTGTGTATGTTTGAGTTTGCTCCTTCCTG